TATTCTAACATAAAGTACGTCCAGGCTCTGAGGAAGGCGAAGTCGCCGAAACGTCAGCCATCGATCAATAACATTAAAAAGATGTCGCTCTTAGTCCAAAATTCTACACGGCGATCAGACCATTGCCCTTTCCATAGAAAATTTCATTTCCGCGGAAAGGAGAAAAAGACGATGTGTTCAGAAGACGAAGTCCCAAAATTACCATAAACTGAGGCTTATCCAACTCACTAGTCGGTTCTTGGAAAGTTGCCGTTCTCGAAAACATCGATGAGGAATACGATAGGCTCATACAACATGTTCACCTTAGCGCTATGGAGGTTGAAAGCTCGAAAGTCACCAAGAGATATCTGCTTCTAGAAACATTCGAGCTGATACGCAGGCACGGAATCGCACAGGCAACCGCCACCTCATCTGCGAATTTGCAAAACAATACAGACAAACGATAAAGGAGCATCTTAAAAAGAGAAGAGCAGCAGTTATGGTCGAAGCTGCACAGGCTAGGAAAAGCATTCGCAAAGCCCACCAAAGATTCGCCAATTACAAGACCAATATGATTGCACTTCGATGCCCGATGGAACAGTTACTACCTCAAAAAGGCAACGGAGAAAGTTATTCACGATTACTATTCATAACTCTTCAATAGCTACGCCCTCCTGCCTTCATAAGAAATAAACGAAAGTGGATATGTCCTACCACCTATTCCTCCATCCGAAATCCGACATGTTTCATCTATGAAAAACGAACGACACCTGGTCCACACAGGGTAAGGTCTGAACTCATGAGGAAACCTTCGCCAGTCCTCATACTGGCTCCACTATTCGCACGTTACCTGTCAGAATGCAAAGTTCCTATTCGACGGAACACCAGCACCATTGTGTTATTGTTCAAGAAGTGTGGCTCGGCCAGAACACTGGATGAGGGACACCCAAGTGAACAAGCATAGGCTTTGAAAAGGATTCATTACGATGTACGACATCGACGAGACAAAAATGCTTATTGAAGTATCGCGAGTCACCAGAGGACCGCACTGTCCCCTTTTCGTCTATTTAAAGAAAGCTTTTGATTACTTGACATATAAGCAGTCATGGAAGCCCTGGACACCCAGGGCATCCGTACTCAGTATACAAAGAATCTTTGTGAGCTATATAAAGATTTCACAACCAAAACTCATTCTATAACGAAGTCAAAAGAGGGATTAGGTAGGGCGATACCATCTCACCAAAATCTTTACCACCACCTTAGAGGACGTCATGAAAACATTGAAATGGGACAACATGGGAGTGAAACTCGATGGTCGGCAGTTACACTATCTTCACTTTGTTGATAACGTCATAACTTATAACACGAAACATTAGCCTGGGGAAACGTATGCTTGCTGACTTTCACACGGTCGGAAACATTGGCCTTCGACTAAATCGCATAGAAACGGTGTTCATTAAGAACGGATTGGTTACGCGCGCCCCATTCACACTGAAAGGAATGAATATCTTCGAGTGCTTCAGTGCTTCAGTTACGTCTATCTTGGCCAGGATATCTAAATGATGGATGACTTAGCTTCAGAGTTGAGTAGGTGGAAATGAGGGGCTTGGTGAGCTTTTGGCAGAGGCGAGGATGTGGTGAAGGGAACAAAGAACAACTGATTCCATGCCTACGTTTTCCACACTACTATTCTTCTTGCCTTAACGTATGCGTCAGAAACCTGGCAGTTGCTTAATCACGATGATGTATCATCACTCAGCGTTATAGAACGCGCAGTCGAAAGGATGATGCTAGGAGTATCTTATATCACGCAAGTGACGGAAAGAATCCGAGGTTCCGACCTAAGTCAACGACCAAAAATCAAAGACACCGTTCTACACGCCAAATTGTAAGAGACAAGTGGGCAGGGTACGAAATGCGTGTGAACGGCAGCGGATTAACAGGAGCCGTTAGCTGGAAGACATTGGCGCACGCTCGAGTCACTCGAGTCACTTAGGTGATATGCTTAGTTAACAAAAATTTAGGATGATCGCTTTATTTTAAGCGAATTTGATGAAGATAGGTAACAACTATTAAAAACTACATTATGTTAAAGAGGGTTATATTTCCCTATTTTGTAAATGTTCGGTAAACAGGATTCCTACCACAACTTGCACGTCACTGCGATGAATGCCGTCGGTAACAGTGGCGGTGCATGTCAGTAGGTTTTTTGTATAGTCGGCAATCGTTTTCGCTAGCACTACAACTCCAGTGGTAGCGTTTACAAAGAAGTACTCCGCATCACCACCGCTCAGCGAGTACGACAATTGCGGCTGTTCGTCGTTATCCTTGGCCTGTAAATAAGGATTCAAATCTCATTTCGTTAGTTATTGTTCCGCCGTCAGATCCATCGCGGTATTACTAAGAACAATCGGATCTTTTCCATAGTAATATAAAACATTACAGCGAGCGCATCAGTAAGTGCTGCATTCTTTAGATTGGTTTATGTTCGTGAAATGGCTCTTGCAGAAAACTTAAAAAGCTGCACGGATTTGGAACTACAATATTTTTAAGTTATTACGACGATAAAATGACCTCCAGCTTCAATATGGAGCTGAAGAGACGAGCCTGCCAGAGAACGACACCTGTGACTGAATGATCAGAGTTTAGACGTACGAATACTGGAGCGTTGTCGTTCTCGTCGAGCACCCTCACCACAACCAGCGTTTCGAATTTAGTCAGTTTTTTCTTAGCTTCTGGAAAATAGACTTCTGGAGAAGCGATAAATATTCCTCAAAAAGAATTAAATCATATTAAGTGGAAACGCCTTTCACGGAATTATTTCGTTAAAAGGACTTATGGTTGGTGGGATTTCCGTGTATGAAAGTAATGAACAAAGAAAAGTTCAGCTCGTTTTGGTCAGATCATTTTTACATAATTCTACAGCTCGGTAGTAGTTCTGGAAACCAATGCATATGTGAATGAGTTAATAATATATCGTATAACGTAGTAGTAGAAATTTCGTCTATTATGCACAAGGCCCTGGTTCGACTACACACCAGTGTAACCAGACCTCGCACCTTTCAGAGTTAAGAAATCGGTGCCACACTTATCTAAAAAGAGCCCTCTGCCATCAAAAGCTGGCAAATCTGGTAGCGCTACAGCAGCCTAGTCCACAATTCCAGAAAGATTGACTTGATCAGAGCTCAATGGCATTCATAAAGAAAAAAGAAATCCTTAAGGAGCAGCCGAACTCACACTCAAATTCAAAGACCTCGGATGATGGATGCAAGGAAACGATTCGAATGGAAACGGGGATGCCCACATTACTTGATGTTGGAGCATGTAAACGAATACAGTAATATAAATAAAAGTAATATCAACAATAATTAACAATTGATCAATTTAATAATAAGAGAATAATAGCTGTTGCCAAAGCCAGGAGAAGTTTTGAGGGAAACCACGGTTGTTATTTCCTTGGCACACCTATGGAACAGAGCCATTGTTGAATACTCTTCAAGTTTGTAAACCAAGCGCTTCTATCATTTCACAAGAAGCAAGTCAGCAAAGAGCAACAGTCTTAAAATTCACTTTCTACGATTGGATTTTGACGCACGCTACGTTTTCCGCTAGAGACAGCTACGTAGAGGAAGTGGAAGGTTCGTCGCTCACGATCCAGCATTCGTACAGCGAATATTTCGCCAGTTGACGGATTCAGCTCGAAATATTCTGAAAATCGAAGTTTTTAAATCATGTGGGACATCCGGGACAGTTGTTGTTATGCTGGCCCCCAAGGTTTCGACAGTGTTTTTTCAAGCTATTATAGCTATCAAGCCAAAGACTTCTCATGAAACGGTTTCACGCTTTCTGAGAACTTTGTTAGAATGCAAGAAACATTAATGTAAGATTGCTGGTAGCACCGATAGATTTAAGGGTAGCACCCATGACTGAGAGAAGGGCAAAGCAAGGGCTTCGGCTGGCGTAGTGGATAGTATGTGAGACCCCGGTAAAAGTAATCGAAGTTTTGAAGCTCAACTGAGGTTCTGAGCTTTGCTCGCATTTCAGGATACTTATGATTGTATTTTACATCATACTTTGCCATGGTAAAAGAATAGGCATTGAATGAAAACTCAAAATAGGAAACATTATCAATTTAAGGGATTGTCTTCGTAATCTCTTCAAGTCAGAGTTTTTTCAAGCTGTTCATAAGCTCCTGGTAAAATGCAAAGATTTTCTTGATAGGAAGAAAGTGCATAAAAGAACACAAACCTGTGGGCTTTGAGAACGAGTATTGGAATGGTTGCCCGTTCTTTTCACAAGTTGACGTGACTTTAGCGATTCTGTTACGACCATCACGATTCTCCAAGATTTCTGTGTTGTAGACTTTGGTGGGGAAATAACAACTGGACGTGCTACTGCGTTCTTGAGTGGTACTTCTCGGTTTTGCAGACGATGTTTGACTTTCAATGAAGACATCCATCTGAATTGGAATACTTGGACAGTGTTGGTAAATACGGAGCAAAATACCTAAAGATTAAAGCATTTCGATAAATGCATGCAGAGTATTCGAGAAATAAATAAAAGAGGATGAAGACAAAGCAGGGTAGCGCATTTCCAAAAAATGAGAAATGAAGACGTACTAGGGCTGAACCGGTGCCATAGCTGTTTTCAGCAGTTATATTTAGTTGGAAGTATCGATTTTTCTCACTATTCGTCGGTACTCGATTCAGAATCACCCGTCCACCGTCTTCTATTTTGAATAAACCGCTGAAAGGAAACGTGTTTCTCTTTTCATTGACCGAAATAAAAACTGTGGGTAATGCTATAAGGTTCTGCAGGTGTTCTCTTATACACTATAGGCTATAGAATTTATTAACTAATAGGTACTGGAGAAGGTAATGGAAGCAGCTAATAAAGTTTAACACGTTACAGTTACAGGAATGGAAGATAAACCTATCAGAAATCGGAAGTGTTGAAAGAAGAACGCTTCGTAGAGTTTAAAAACCCACTTGTAGTCCTCTATCAGTCCGTAACACATTTTCTCATTTGGTTGCATTGTGTTTATTGTGGGTCCTGCTAACGCAGTTCCAACTTCCGATCCGGGCATTGCCCCATCAAAGACCACCATTCCCGGCAAACTATTTGGAAACTGAGGTCGTTTCACAGCAGGATCAAAGACGTGAATTATTAGCTGGAAAGCTCTTAAGTTTAACATCACTTTATCTTGACCTGTATGAGAAATTTGGAAACTCGTGGACTTTATGAATCAATGGCTTAAGTGTTGGTAAAGTACATCGAAACAGCACTCTAGAAGTTCGTTAAGTGGTATAACGGCACCAAGGAGTGTCCTTGGGTGTCAAAGCGCTGTGTATAATGGGAGTTCATCCGCCAGCAGAGTCTCCCAAGCTGAGAACTATTTTGACAGCTTCATCTGGATGCACAGTTAAGAGCAAGGAGCAAACTTGGTTCATAAGAAAGGAATAATGAGCTTGCTGCTGCTATTTTCCTGCAAGCAGAATAAGGGTACAAGAGCAGAAGCTGTGTCACTTTTACGCTAGGCCATTACTGGAAGAAAAACGATTGATTTAATGCAGAAATTTCAAGAAGGTTTTGTGCAATAGAAAGGAACTCATGTTTGCCAATGAGGAAGCATGGCTATCACTTTTTCATGTAAAATGAATATCGTTTTTAAAATTGCCCTGCTATATTTTATGGAAGCTGAACAAGAGAAGAGGAGACGAAGTAGATCTGAAATTGTACTCACCTTTTGCGTGGATTTCAGAGAAGGTCTCCCACCATCTCTCGCAAACACCGTAATCGCAAACTCGTCATCTGAAGTTGATTTCAAAGATCCAGACACGAAGAGGATACCACCTGTAAAATAAGCATCCATAGCAGTTTGTGGAGAAATACTTAAAATCACAACGTTCTTGTGACGCATTTTGAGCGAAAACCTTATTTTCGATATATTTGTAAATTGTCCGTGGGAGGTTGTCACACACATACTTCAACGGCTCACTGCCTCATTGTAATTCTGAGGTTTTCCTAGGTGTTGAACTGTGATCTATAAAAAACTGCACTAGTTCAGTTGTGTTCTTCTAGTGTAAGCCGCTCTGAAACTCTGACAGTGGACGAGGACTAACGGAGACGTTATTGGAGCTCGCTCGAGTTAGTGGGTGATTACTCTGATACTTAGACGCCCCGTCCTCACTAGTTGTGCAGGCTCCACATCCCCCGAGTCCCGAGATCAGCCTGGCCAAAATCTGCCCCAGGTCGTCACCACCACAGATGGTCGCCGCCTCTATGGATCAGGGAGAGATTTGCCACCATGAAACTAGTCTGATACCAAGACGGTAGTGGATGGATCATGGTATTGATTTACGCTTAGCTGGGCCTCCTGACAGAAACGCCGAACTCATTCACAGCTTGTGAGACCTTTCCGGGGGAGGAATCCCCCGCTGTACATAACAGCTCTACGCACAGGATCACCTCCCAGCCACGATGAGGTGGTAGAGTGTTAGGAGAAATGGGAGATTATCGTGATGAAAGGTTTTATGTGACGATGTCCACAAAAACCCAATGATCTATTATTTTTACGCATTTCGTGCAATCACTTGAAAGTTCACTTAATTAATAAGATGAGCAGTTTTAACTCTTACTGGTAGGATCGACGTTGAATGGAGTTTGAGTCTCCTCAAGACCATAGCTGACAGCACCATAATTGTCAGTATCGAGATCACGTGCAGTGAATCTGTGGAGCGGCACCCCAATGGCAATGTCACGGAAGACACCGATGATCGAGGGTGCGGGATCGAATAAGGGATAGTTATCATTGATATCCAGGACGGTGACGTTCAGCAGAGCCTGTGCCTCACCGAAATCGGTGCTTGTAGCCTGAACAGACAAATACTTTTTGTGCACTTTCGAGGGTTAGTCGAGGAATAAGAATCAGGAACTGAAAGTGAACAGCAAAAGTCATCGGATTTTGACCGTCAATAAAGAGAAGATAAATAACACGAGCTACTGAGGGACGGATGTAGTGGAGGTCCTATCGGGAGACGATATCGGGATTACTTTGGTTATCGCATATTTTAAGTAGATGCTGTGGTTAAAAAGATTTTTTCAACACTTATTGTAACGAACACTTAGAAAACCTTGCGAAGACATTGCTGTATGTCTTCTAAGCTTCCTGTCTACAAATAAGGCAACAATGATAGGTCGATCCCATTTATACTTCAGCCAGGCAAAATTGTCTACAAATCCACTTCAGAAGATGTTTGCATAAAAAAAGTTCTTCCCAAGAAGGATAAATCTTGCATTGGTTAGTGGTATACATTTAATTTTTCAAAGAACTAAAGAATAATAAAGATAAAACTCTTGGCATTGATCAATCCCTGAGAAATGCGCCATGCATTCGACTTCATTAGGTAACGTTGGAGGTGATTGAATGCATATCTGGCCTTTACAATGATTCACGGTGGCCTACCGATGTAGCAAACCGATGCTGCTATCCTCCTAGACAAATCTCGTACAAATTTGCCGACCCCGGAGGGATGGAAGGCTTGGTAGGCCATGGGCGCGTGGAACGACTCCACGTGCGTGTCGCAGTGGCGCCTCCAACAACTGCGCCACACGCGCCCTTTAGAACTATTAAAGTGGCAACAAATACGGTTTTCCTAGTTCGATGGGGTGAAACAACCCTGCATCATCAATAAATATCTGAACAAGTAGTGCAGAAATAAGTTCCGCGCCAAACAGAACCTATTAAGTCTTACGAAAACTGGAGTTTACCAAATTTAGACTGATCTCCCACCTTAATGGGAAAACTGTAGGCCGCGCGTGATTCTCTGTCGACATCAAAAACGATGAGTTGACCGTCCGCAGTGAGGAAGAACGGCATGTTTCTGACGTTGTCAGAAATCTCAAACTTAACCGACGTATTTTTATTGACCGAAAGCGCTTCCGGTTTCAGCGCTACACGGATCCCATTCGTGTATTCTCCTTCGGGAACGAAAGCAAAGTAGATGGATTGAGAAAAGCCAAACGCCTCATTGGCAGTGGATGATTGGCTATATGAAACATCAGCAGTCGTAGTTACAGTGGCTGTATCGGTCTCGAAAGAGATTGCAGTTGTTGAAAGAGTGGAAAATGTAGTATCCTTCGTATAGAAACTCTGCTCCAAAGAGGTAACGGTAGATGAAAGATCGCTTGAATCCGATGTTGCCGTAATGTACACCACAAATGGTACCGAAGTCAATAAAACACCCTGAAATAAACTAAATGAATAGATTTTCGTAATGCTGACATATTGAAAATGAAATTTTTCTCTAGATTTCAGCAAAGCAGTAAATACAAGCGTGCTCTCTTCAATAGAGCGCTGCACAGAAGGAAATTGAGGTAGAAGAAAAAGAAAAGAGAGCTTACATCTCGGACAGCTAAAATTTCGTCTTCGATCTTTGTCGGTGTATTGAACGTCTGTGTAGTGCGTATCCAGAACTTTCTGTCGATAGTGAACAGTTTGTTGTACTTGAATACGAGTTGCACTTCGCTGCCGTTTGTCAATTCGACTCGCCCCAAGGACGTTCCGATTGGTGAGTCGCTACGAATTGCATAGGTGTAATTTGGTTGAATGAAGCGCACTTCTACAATAAAGGAAGTGTAGCTTTAAACAGAAGGCTTAGAGCCGAAAAAAGCAGAAAACGAGTATTGCTAATCAACTTGAAGCCCCAAAAGTGGATTACACCCTTGCCCGTGTTCTTATTCTGTACATGGTGCATTGAGGAAGTCATCAAAACTTAGACTGGAAGTGCTAAAGTGGAGAGCGACCTCATTCTAATTATATGTCATTTTTGACAATCATCCATAAAACTCAGAGATAGGTGGCTCGGACGAATCTGGTTCCAGCTTCATGAATTCATCGTGGGAACTGGTAGAAATCCTTATGTAGTGAAAACGGAAAACGGAATATGAAGAATAAAACACAGTGGATCCCGACAAAATTAAAGCTGTGGAGAGGAAATTTCAAAAAAGGTGGACAGGTGTGTTCGTCGCACGCGTAATATCTGGCTGTATTAACCAAGTTTCAGATCTCCGTGCCGTAGGCGGACCAACGCTCGAATCCGACCACCTCTGTTGAGAAGAACTCTAGGACAACGAAGGAATCAAAAGTGTTAGGATTCGCACAGCATGCGAATAAGTGCTCATCTAAATATTAAAGCACTTCAGTGATGACTTCTAACCCAGTTAATCAATGGGTGGCTCGAAGTAGCAACCTTTAACTCGGCGACTCTATTAGACGACAAAAATCGCTGTATTTTTCAGCCAGATACCTAGGAACACTGCAGCAGCGAAGGAAAATACAATTAGAAAAACCGAAAAAAAACTGGCTTCCATTCCTGAACGTCCAAATTAACCTGTCAGAAAATGGCTACATTACGAAGTGGTACCGAAAGCCAAGTAGTAAAAACATTTTGGTTCATTACCTCTCCTCTCATCCCTCTCACACGAAAAGAGCGCTTGTAAGAAACATGTTTCGAACAGTAACCAACGTCAGCACGGGCAAAGAGCAGAGAGAAGAGTCCCGGAGCATGGCACGGGAAATAGCCATTTCTAATGGCTACGAAACTGTAGCTCGGGATAGGTGTAGGGGAAATTCCAGACCACCAAGTCCCGTTTATCCTACCCTTGATTTCAAATGAAGTAAGTGCAGCTATAAAACGCTGCTTAAGAAGGGCGGGTCTAGAGAATTCGGTAAGCGTGGTTGAAATGCCACCGAGTAATCTTAGCCGCCAGCTAGTTCGCAACCGCCTATATGACAGTATATGTGCAACGCAAAATTGCATAATTTGCCCCAATGGTAAAGAAGATAATTGCATGAGCCCGGGTACAGTTTATCTGGTCTCCTGTAAGGCGTGGGGAGACGAATTTGGCGAAACGGGCCGACCCCTCTGTGCCCGCGTAAAAGAACACCTAGTAGGCAAACGTAAACCAAATACCCCACTAGGCACGCATAGGACCCAGAGACATAACGGGGAAGACTTTGAAGTAAGTGTCACGATCCTCGCACAGGAATTAAGAACACAAGCGCGAAAAGCTCTCGAGGCATTCCGGATTAATTCCAGAAATCCGAAAATGAACAGCAGGGAAGAATGCCTCATTATCATGCGTGATATTGGCCAGTATATAAGCCTATTATTCTGATGGGAGGGGAACATTACACTTCCATGTGAATTCTGTGCGGTTGGTCTTAAAGCGACATACTCAGTGGAAGACTCATAGAAAGCAGTGAGTGTGCGAAGATGTGTTAAATGTGATTGAAATCTTGGTTTAGCGTTTTCTTTGTTTGGTTATGGAGGTGTTTGGCCGAATAGATCGCTGACAACTTGACCATTCCGAGTTCTGAGGAAGGCGAAATCCGCCGAAACGTCAGCTTAATCGTGAACAAAGAATAATAACACCTCGCGTTTGCTCAACAAAAATACGAAGAAAATTACTTGATCAATGCCGAGGTTAATAGAAAGTCGGTCGTGTGAGCTTCTGTTTCGTTTTCATAATGGAGTAGCAAGGGCGCATCCGGCCAGACCAGAATATAACACCCAGGAAACAAATGATACTGAAATTTCCACAGATTTTCTGTTTATTTATTAAACGCTCATTGTGTAGGAGATCTACTACTCCTATTACTGAAAGAGTGTTTCCCTAAATGTTGCACTGCGAAGTAACAACACCTTGTTCCCAGGTATGACCACTCATGATAAAAGCGAATGAAATGATTTCCTCGAAGTGCCGAAGAACCAAGATGGTGCAAAACCACTCTGAATGGCACAAAACTACAAACAAACACACAAACGAGCGAAATCAGAAATTACTGATCCCAGTCTCAAACGATGTCGATTCCGATTTTGACTCATGAAATTCCCTCATATCTGAAGTTGGCTTGATTCTGTGGATAGATGAAACATTATGGAGCCGGCCTACTGATTTACTTGGGCAACTGATGCTCATTTACCTCCTTCTCATACTCTTCAAAGAGCTGCTGGCCATACGATGTTGTCGGTCCAGATCAAACGAACATCAAGAAAAATGTAATCTCATTAATAGGAATTGGACCGTTTCCATCTCAAAGGGAGAAGTTTTATTGGAGATGTCGCTTTCATAGTCAACTGTACTCCACAAACATTTGTACCTTGTCAGTCAAAACCTGACGTGCATAGCGAAAACATAGAATTCATTTCCAGTGAAAGTTGTACTACATATTAGCTCCCGATATGTCTAATTCGAGAGTAAAGCGGACAGAAGAAAAAGAAAACAGAATTAGAAGAACTATCAAACAGGAATTCGAACCAAAATGGAAGTCATTTTGTAAGACTTGTTTAGTAATGACATCTTATCTCAAGGTAGCCACGAAGCATTTTCATTGCATGGGGAGAAGGAAAGCCAAGTAATGACGAGATGATATGAGAGGTGTTTCAATGAAACTCCTTCTAATGTAACAACCGTGACAAAACGGCTCCGATTAAGGGATAACGCTGACTACATGAAGATTTAAATATTTGTGCTCAGAATGCCTTGAATCCTCTACGACGAAAGACGAAAATATTGCCAAATATTACTTTATTACTTTGAGAAATTGTTCAGCAAGGCTGCTCCTTATATCTGGGTTGGATATACTACGTTAATCAATGCAACAAGTTGCGAACGGTGAGACATTAGTCTTCCTAGATCAGAGATAGACTATGTCATGGTTCATTGAATTACGTAGAAAGTACCCCTGGTTGTTCTTCTCCAACTTTTGTGGGAGAAACACTAACCACTATTGAGAGTGTCTTAAGAATATTAACAAACCTTAAAATAACCTATAGAACAATGTATAAAAAACCTTTTGAAGGTTACTCGAGAGACACAACATCTAGCTAAATTCTCAGTGGCTCTGATTGCAGAGAAATACATAGTTTCCATGGCATGGTAAAACTTGTATGGTATAAAAATGGATTCGTTGTACTAGTAGTGGAAACGATGCATAAAAACGAGGATGTGAAGTTGGATTCCCAATGAGCGAAAAGCTTTTAGACAAGACCGGAAAGTAGTTGAACGATTTGCTCGTTGAACTCTGCGCAAGTCCTTCACAGCTTGAAAATCAAAGCAGAACAGTGGATCTGAACAGAGTCGAAATGACCACTGTGAACCGGACACTATATGAACAAACAAACTCTTGTCAAGTTAGTCAAGAACAGCTCACGAAAACGTAGCAATGAGGGCCTAGGTTAATAGATAGTCGGCGCATGGAAGTAGGCTCGTAATTCGCTTTCACTACGCCACCCATCATGGCTGACTGTTGCCGGACGTGAAAGTGAATGTAAAACTTGCTTAGATCCGTATAAAACGTGATCATCGGTCATTAACATATATTCAGGCATTTTATTAAGCCTCACTTTTATTGGACCTATCTAAGTGTAAACATAAACAAAGTATGGAGTAGCTTTAATTAATTTCCTACTTATGCTAGCTGTTATGTTCCATCCGTAAGTCGAGTACCTGATGTAGTCGGAGTTGCTGATGAAGTAGTTTCATCCTTCAAGGTCGTAGATCGTTCATCGGCAGTGCTTAAGGAGTAATGTGGCCCAGTGGTCGACACTGAACTTTCTGTATTATTCTGGAAAGATCCATCTCCTGCAGAAGTCATTGTTGATGAGGTGTCCTCAAGCAAGTTACGTGTTCCCAAAACGTCGTTTTCCGGAATCAGCACACGAATATTAGTGAATGAAGACATAACTGGTTTGCCATTGTCTTCGGATATTACGAGGAAACTGTAGAGCGCCTGCTTGAGGGCGAAGACCGGGACACGAACAGAAAGTTGACCCTGCAACAAGAAATGAGAGCAGATTCCCTCCGAGAGCTCTTCAGGTCAAAGGTTTACAAACCACTCTACCATCGTTTTCTGGTGGACGTATATGAACGTTACAATCTTAACCGTTTTATTTACTGCCTATTCTTTTTAATGGCACTGTATTTTGCGAAATATAGCTATTATAATGCTGAGATATTTGCAAAACACCAGACCGCAGGTGCTTGCGGTGGGGAACGAACGAGCTATTGTCCTTTCCGGGGAGTAACGCGTTCACCACCACACCATGCGGGTTCTTCGTTTCGCCTGTCAGCTAGTTCTATCGATCTTTTTTTTGCCATGAGCAATCACCCGCATACGGGATTGATCTGGGGAGCACAAATCGGCATTGAACCCAGTTAAGCTGAGGCTATAGTTATACTCCCGGAAAGGTCAACAGCGCGTTCGTTCCCCACCGCAAGCACCTGCGGTCCGGAGTTTTGCAAATATCTCAGTAATATAATAGCTATGTGAACGTTAATTTAATTTTCTGCGAACAATTCTACAATATAACAGCTTGTCATTTCACTTGACGAACTAGTTAGGCCGTATTTAACCGATTTTTTCCGAACCAAAGGTAAGAAATAGTGTAGAAAAAAGGAGAAAACACTCTAATTCTTTTTGCTTACTTATGCAAAGAAGTCTTTTTCAGTACTGTAGCGCTTGCTATGAAATTCTACCAATTCTATTTCCCAGTTCCTCGACAAAGACTACTCTGCATACTTACTAAAGCTACTTATTGTCCTTCCTGAAGAATTGATAAGCCTTCCTATAGAAAGTCACAAATCTCAAAAACTGTGCGGAATTCTCAGACGTCGTTCTGATATCGAGCTCAAACGCCGAGGTTTTAAGTAGACTTCTCTCAATCTATTCTAACGCTTCTTCATTTTGACAGTAAGGTGACACGTGTCACCAGAATTTCGGAAAATGGGTCACAGATAAGCTACTGCCACCTACACTATGTTCTAGATATGATAAAGCACTTATTTATTCTGCAATTTAACCAGTTTTAAAGCTCCCGCCGTAAATAATTAAACGTATTATCTTCAAAGCAAGATTTTTCAAAAAAAAAAAATTGAAACCAAGGGACTTGTTCAGGGCGAAATAACCTCTGAAAAAACATTGGACGATAGTGTTTGAGAACAGACGTAAAAAATTTAGAACCTCCGCGTCGATCGCAAAGAGATTTCTTAATTCCGGTGGTTCGATGAAATAGCGAATTACATCTCCATCCTGATCCACTGCGGTGACCTTCTCAAGAAGCTCACCATTTTGAGAAGAGTTGAGGACGAACGTGTAGAGTTCTTTGGCAAAGCGAGGTGAGTGATTCTGTTCCAATGACTTCCTAAAAATCACTTTTTTTTCAAAGTTTCCATTGACGATGTCTAGAACAAACGAAGAAGTTCTTTAAGATTACACTGTATTTCGAGAAGGTTGGGTTCGCAGACATTTCAGTGATAAGCTGACATACTTACCACTGTGACCATTAAGCTAACTGATAAAGAGTAGATGTGGGTGCTACCTCTTATTTCTAAACTGACTGCTAAAATGTCTTGTAATAAGATTTTGCGACGTGAAATAAAATTTAGTAGACAGTCTCAACTATGTATTCCCATTGATTCTGTTGATTCTGTTAACCTCGCAGAGACGAGACGACGCCACCCATTCAACACGGCATATGATACTGGAGAAGAACTGATACTCGGAAAATGCGACAGTAGAGGAGTCGTTGGCCTCGGCGTACTTGTCAACACGAGTTTGTCCATGAACATCGGTTCATTCGAACAACTAACAATCTAAATCGGATGTTTACGATTAAACAGATGTGGATCAAAGCCGGCTTTGACCATCTTCGTCGTTTACGCGCCGACATCAAACTGCGACGAAAAAGAAACCGAAGCGTTGTAAATGGATTTAGAGAAGTTCTGTAGAGAAGACCACACATTCTTCAAGGTCATCATTGGAGATTTTAACGCAAAGATTGGACCAAGAAGAGCGTCTGAAAAACGTCATATTGAAACCCACAGATTAGAATGGAAGAGACAGGATGAGCAGCTATATGAGTTTATCATGGCGACCAAGACAATCCATGGTAACTCGCAATTCCAGAAGCCCCACCCTCAGCACTGGACGTGGGAGTCTCCCAATGGAGAGTACCATAACGAAATAGACCACATCATAGTAAATAGAAGGTTTTGCCTAACGTTGTCCCAAAATTCTACACGAGATCAGACCATCGTCTCCTTCGTGCAAGATTCTATTTCTCGCAGAAAGGATAAAAAGCCGCTAAATTCAAAAACCGAAATCCCAGAACCACCGCAAACTGGGACTTATTCAATTCATTAGTCGGCTGTTGGGAAGATGCCGTTGTCGATAACATCGACGAAGAATACGATCGGCTCATTCAACGTCTTCACTTTAGAGGTATGAAAGCTGAGAGTTCGAAAGTCACCAAGAGACGTTTTTCTCCAGAAACACTCGAGCTGATACGCCACCGTGGAATAGCACGAGCTGCAGGCAACCGCGAACTAACGTCTGAACTTGCAAAACAGTGCACACAGGCGATAAAAGAAGATCTTAGAGAGAAGAGCAGCAGTAATGGCCGAAGCTGCAGAGGCTGGGAAAAGCATTCGCAATGCCCATCGAAACTTCGCCAATTACAAGACCAAAATGATTGCTCTCCGGCGCACAGACGGAACAGTTACAGCGTCCAGAGAGGCAATAAAGAAAAACATTCACGAATACTACGCGGATCTCTTCGATAGCCACGTCCACCTTCCGTCATATGAAATAAAGGAGGATGGATATGCTGTACCACCGCTTCTTCCTACCGAAATTCGATATGCCATTTTGTCGGTGAAAAATCGAACAGCACCAGGTCCGGACAGGATAAGACCAGAACACCTGGAGCACCTTCCGCCAGTCCTTGTAAACACACAGGCTCGCCTCTTCACACATTACTTGTCTGAATGCAAGGCCCCTACTCAGTGGAAGACCAGCAAGACTGTGCTATTGTTCAAGAAGGGTGACCAGCACGATATCGGCATCTATCGCCCAATCTGCTTACTGTCTGTCGTTTACAAACTTTTTACTCGAGTCATCCTAAACAGGATTGACAAAACAGTGGACGAAGGGTAGCCATGTGAACAAGCAGGGTTTCGAAAAAGATTTAGTACGATGGACCACATCCACACGGTAACGCGGCTCATTGGTATCGCGAGAGTACAAAAGACCGCTCTGTCTCACTTTCATCGATTCACAGGCCTTTGATTCAGTTAAGATAGAAGCAGTCCTGGAAACTCTTGATAGTCAAGGAGTCCGTACTCAGTACATAAAGATTCTTCGTGAGCTGTACAAAAATTCCACAACCAAGGTATCACCACTCTACAACGATATTAACATTGATGTCAAAAGAGGAGTTAGGCAGGGCGATACCATCTCGCCAAAATTATTTACCGCCACCATCCAGAACATCATGCAAACATTGGAGTGGGATAATATGGGAGTGAAATCGACGGTCGGGAGTTACACGATCTTCACTTTGCTGATGGTATCGTCCTTATAACAACAAACACTAGTCAAGCGGAGCGTATTCTTGACGACTTTGATAGGGCCTGTGGAAAGGTTGGTCTTCGACTAAATCTCACAAAAACGATGTTCATGAAGACCGGATTGGTATCGCATTCCCCATTCTCGCTCAACGGAGGGAATATCTCCGAACGCTCCAGTTATGTCCATCTAGATCGGTAAACCAGGAAGTCGAACGACTTAGCTCCAGAGTTGAGCAGAAGGAAACAAGTGGGCTTGAAGAGCTTTAAAGAGCATCGTGGATGTATTGAAGATGACAAAGAACACCCGGCTCCGTGCCAATCTTTCGACTCAGCGGTGCTTCCTGCACTAACGTAAGCGAAACTGGTCGCTGCGTAAGCTGGATGAAGGGTCACTTAGCGTTATCGAACGCGCATTCGATAGGACGATGCTAGGAGTATTCCGTTCCACACAAGTAAGGGATGGGAACCGAAACACCGATCTGCGTCAACGATCAAAAATCAGTGATGCCGTTCTGTACGCCAAACAGTCGAAGATAAGGTGGGCCGGACACGTAATGCTTATGAATGACAACCGATGGACAATAGCCGTTAGTGACTGGATTCCTCGGGATGTCAAACGTACTGCAGGAAGGCCACCGACTCGATGGTCAAAGTTCTTTACAAAGAGCTTTGAGGAAGGATATGATGCTCGACGAGTCCCTAGAGAGAGGAGAACCCGCTGGGCCACTCTTGCACGCGACAGAGAAAAATGGAAGATTTACTGGCGCCCGCTCGAGTCACTCGACGATCAACGGGGCAACAAGTGTTAAAGGTGATACAGTGCTTGCCATATGCAGAAGTTAGGTCCCTGATGATGTGGTTCTCTGATGTTGATGTAAATAGTTGCAGACACATTGATGTTTACATTGAGTGGTGGTAACAGCGACGAAACTTTAGTTCAGACTCTGACCCTTTTCCATTGAATCCGAGCGAAATGTGCATCTTAGCAAGCTGAACCAGTACGAACCGTTTGATAACTCACGTTGTCGAATATAAAGTTTCCAATACTTTTAGCCTTAACGTGGCATTTGATACGTGGACTCCATCAGTAGCTGAGACGACGCAATTGATCATCCCAGTTTTTCTCTTTGATACCGGTATTGAGAAGGCGACAACTCCCAGAGGATTAACGGTTAGTGAGGAGCAAGCCGCATCTCCAGAAAGCAAGAAGGAGAGGCGGTCGTGGTCGGCGTCATTAACCGCAAGAGTGAGTAGTGGCTGACCTATGGGCAAATCGGCGGACACCTGAAATGCTCGACAATAAAGCTGAAGCTCAGTGTTTGCAAATGCAGCCACTTCTTATTTAATAGAAAACAGTGCAAAATGCGATACAACATAGATTAATAGGATATTATTAAAATATTGCAAATCATTCGTAATCTTTACTAATCAATATGAGATGTTGGATCTGGCTGCTATATGTATCAAAAAATGTTGAAGTTCGAAAAATCTAGTTCGCATTGCAGTCATTCCTAAAACCAACTTCAAAAGTTGTTAATACGTTTATTCATGATGGGCAACTTTCTCCTCACTTCACTCTCATCTCACCTTCTGAAGTGCATTGAAATGGTCAGATGACATATTGGACCTACAGATCGGGTCTATTCGTAATTCCAACGAAGACCGCAAAATATAAATTTGAACCATATTGTAAAAAGCTTTGTAAACTCTCACTGTGTTTTTTTCTACTTTTTTTCTAATTTCTGAGAAGCGAAGCGACCCACACAGCGTTCCCATTAGAACATCGCTGTTTTATTTCAAAAACGACTTTCCTTCGGCCTCGGTATTACTAATCAACGTGTTTCTTTCTTTGATAAGATTACACGAGGTTGATAAACAATTTATATTCGGTTAACGTTTCGACGTCTTCGTCTTCATCAAAGCCGACTATCCGAGTCGATAGCCCACGGTTCTTCTGCGTCTCGATGTGGCGTCTTCGCCTTCCTATCGAGTTGTGTTTTCCTTAGCGGACTATCTCTCCAATGAGACATACTCACTCGGTGATGCCTTTCTTGAGAACAAGTGAAAAAACAAAACAAGTTGCAGGTGAAAACAAGTTACTATCACCGGACAATCACAAGTACCAGCCAACAGCATCCTGCATGAAGAAAGGTATGGGTGAAAGGTAAAAACAGAAGGTATATATCAGATGGGGGTAGCAGAAACAAGGAATCTATCTCTGAATCCTATTGGATTGTGACTAACCCTCTACCTGCCACCTGGGAATTCGCCAAGTTGCGTTTCGACTAACGGGATCCCTCTGTGAGGGAGATCCGTACAGTTACATACATTGTATATCTTCTTCAATGCACTATCGCTTGATTGTGACTGGGGGATTATACCGGGGTGTCAAAACAAAGCGGATGTTCATCTCGAAAGCCTCGAATTGAAGAATTCAATATTTGCTTACAGAAACCTAGCTGGTAGTAGTCCTATACCGTGTTAAAACCTGGCCAACTCCAAGTGCATAATTTAGCGTGGAGAACAGAGCCCATATACACCCCACCCCTACCTTAATCAGCTCTAGTGCGCCGTGAAAACAAATGAAATTCACTGCTACCCAGTAGTGTTCATCAATAACTACAAACACAAAAAGAAACTGTTACATATGCACATATATATATACATATAAGTAAATATATGTATATACATTTGGCGAGCATATAGCACGGTAATAAGAGGTGCTCTCGAAGTGCATGCTAAACATACATTCGACCACTTATGCCAGTGAAGGGAAATGTAAGGTGGATTCTAAAAGGCTTGATCAACGCCGAACGCATAACCTTAGCTTGTGTAAATATATATATGTATATCTATAAACAAACAGACATACTTATCCATGTAAAAAAACGATAAACCTCGCGGCGTTGATCAATCCCTGAGGGATGCGCCATGCATTCGACTTCATTAAGTACCGTTGGAAGTGATTGAATGCAGATTTGGCCTTTACAATGACTCGCTGTGGCCTACCAATGTATCGAGCCAGTGCTGCTATCCTCCCAGACAAGTCTGGCACCAATTCGCCGACCCCGGAGGGACGGAAGGCTTGGTGAACCATGGGCGCTGGGATCGATTCCACGTGTGTGTCGCAGTGGCGTCTCCAACCACTGCGCCATATCATGATACTTATCAATTTATACAGTGAAATGCTGACAAATACATGCTTCGTTGTTTATTTAATATGCTTGCTCAACATCTTCTTACGTACGTATTTTATCTATAACTGTTTAACCATTCTATTCATTTGGTCCAACTTTTCCATAACAAAACGAATATAATATATAAAGCTAATATGGCTTCAATGATGCTGAGATATTTGCAAAACCCCGAACCGCAGGTGTCTACGGTGGGGAACGAACGCACTATTGTCCTTCCCGGGGAGTAACGCGTTCGCTACCACACCATAGAAGTCTTACGCCTCCAATAGTATAAAGCTCTATATAATATAAAGCGAATATAGTCAGCCCACGGACCTGCTGCTCAAAGTTGACCTTCTGGAAAATTGGTGGATTATCGTTGCGGTTGATAACATTCACAGTAACGGAAGCGGTGGACATTTGTGGTGGATTGCCACGATCTGCAGCTTCTATGACGAGATTAAAGAAGGGTTTAGCCTCGTAGTCGAGAGGAGAGATGATGCGTAGGAGTGCCTGAGGAGAATGAAACCCGACTGAAGGATTTTATATTCAAAAAGTCATACAAATCAATTAGATCTATCGAAAATTTTTAACGAACGAAGAGGTGACACAGAAAACAGATAAAGACGAGTCAGCTGACTCAAATAAATGAATAAATTTAATATTTTAAAGAGTGACGTTTGGTTCCATGCTGCTAAATTGTACATTATTACACAGCTCTTTCAGGATATGCGCGTGGTTCTTGAAGTGAAGTGAAAAATGCCCGTGAAGGCGGATCAGCCGTGAATCTTGTTCTAAGCACCATGGAGAGAATTCAATATCGTTACCGTAATCCTAAAGTCTCGGTTGCATTTCTGTGAAGTGAAGAGTTGAGTGATGATGACACCGATGCACGACATCGGCCAACATGACGAGTCGTTCGTCCGGTTGGATGTCGCTCAGTGGTTGCCCATCGACGGTCATGCAGAATCAAGCAACTGGATCGACCCAGTGAAGGCTTTCTCGGCTTTTACAACTCGTCCATTTCCAACGAAATACCAAAGCAATCTTAGTCCTGCCTACGGGTAGCAGGAAAACGGGAGTGAAAATGGAATGTAGTCTAAAGGATTTGCGTACCACGCATTTATAGATTTGTATTGGTGCATGATTTGGTACAATGTCTGACAACTAGTCGAAAAATTGCGGTTGGTGTCCGCAAAAAGTAAGAAGTTTTCAGGCTTCCTCACATGTATTCTCATTCTAGTTCCAAAGATAACGTCCTCCTACTGAATGAGGTGAATACGTGATAAAGATGGCTAAATCGACTTCTGATCATCTTGCATTTCTCTCCCTATTCCATATGTTCTGGATCAGCAGACCTGACCTTTCTCAGACCGTGTTCACAGGGTTGTGCAGAATTTTTGCCTTAGCGAATGAAATGTGGAAGATTTTCGTAGACCCAAAATCAAGACTATTAACTGCATGGGATAGATAATAGTACATAGCCGTTCTGTTCTTCTACCGCGGAAGATCAGAAGTGCATTTAAAAAAACAAGAAGAGAACTACGCTAAGCTGAAGTCGAAAGACATGAGATACGAGGAAACGGAAGATGCAGAACTGTTACGTTGTGGTCGATTGTCAAAGGCTAATTAATATTCTCATGCACGCAGCTGTAGGGTGCCTGTCTCATGGTTCTTCTCTAGCAAAATGATTAGAAGGCACCGATGAGCACACCATCACACCTTCGTGTAGAATCTAAAAACAAAGATTATCGGAAGAACTGCAATAGGGACATCAGGGGTGCTGTCGAATTGTGCAGTGTTATTATTTACCACTGTGACATGTTTTGTAGCCCGTACTTTTTAAATATGGGCGCGCAGATAGAGCTGTGATAGTGACGTCTTTCAATACGTCCAAAGTCCTAGTTCAACCTCGCATACATCAACCACGATTTCCATCTCTCTCTCTCTCTGTGCATAAGACCGATCCCTAGTACGGCTATCCGAGGATCCGTTTTCTTATAGGAAGAATCGAATCGACACAGCAATCAGTAATATTCAAAAGGAAGACCAAAAGTCTTCAAGCAGTAACCGAGCCGACAACTGAATTCGGAAGCTTTCGTAGATTGCGGATGCGAGTAAATAAATCAAATGGAACGAGTGCCGAGGCGTGTAAAGTACATTCGAAGATGGGTTTTGTAAATGTAAAAATACGCGTAAAGTGGAAAAAAATTGCAGACGACATGGATAAAAACTGCTCACAGTGTTTGGAGATATTTTTTCGATGGAAAAATGGTGGCCATCGTTTCCTTCCACTATACGGAACTCTAGCTCAGCATTTGGACCGGAATCTTGGTCAGATGCGTAGAATTCCAACGTGTCATTAGCCGTACCTGAAAACCCTTCTCAACTTGCAGACGAAAGTAGCATCTCTGATAGGTCGAGGTAATGTTCCTTATCTCGCAAATGGAACAGGTTGTAAAAATTCTGATCCCAGCTATTTTCAGAGTGATAGAGGATTTTAACAGACTGACGATCACGTGACATGATGTCACGCCTGATCGGTAATTTGCAGAGATGTTTTACCGCACCATATCTATTACACCGATGGTTTACCAAACATTGATCCAATACTAGAACTCATTCATGAAAAACTGCTCCCTGCATTTATTAATTTATAAGAACTTTTTTGGATTTTGCTTTTTGACCTCTGCTAAGTCAATGGTGGTCGTCAATGTGTCGAAAGGTTGCAAACGAACCTTCGGTCACGTTCCACGTCAGTGACGGTGAAGCGAATACTGGACGATTGTCGTTTACGTCGGTCAACACTACATGAACGGTTGTTGTGTCCTGAAGCAAGTCACGATCAGGATCAGTTCACCAACGTGCTTCGTTCGACTTACTCGCTTTCCGCCTTTGTCGATTGCCTCCACCACCACTGTGAACGACATCGGTATTTCTCCACCCAGTAGTGCATCGCTCAATATTAATGTGCCATCTTCTTGTACGAATACTAGATTCCTTCCAGAACCTTGAACTACTCAACGATACCTTTGCTTTAAACATAGAATGACCAGATTTTAGATACGCTAGAATAAAGTGAACGTTAAGCTTAGAAATGGATTGCAGATTTACTACAACAATAGGGTTAGCTATGCTCTTGATTTTTCAAAAGGCAAATCACGAGAGAGTGGAGCTGAAGCATATTCACCAGTGATCACCAAAGTGATTACAAACAGTTGAACTGTTGAGAAAATCAAAAATTCAGGAAAAGTGAAAAAATATATATAAATGGTAATAGTATATGTATTCTTTCTTGATAAGCTTGCACGAGGTTGATAAATATATTTATTTTCGGCTAACGTTTCGACGTCTTCGTCTTCCTCAGAGCCGATGATCCGAGTCGATGGTCCATGCTTGTTGTTCGCCTCGACGTTGCAGCTTCGCCTTCGTGTCGAGCCAGGTCTTCCTCAGTGATCCATCTTCTCGAATGAGGCATCCTCAAATATTACTACCTTTGTGCTAGCTGATAAAACACCGACTTCTGCACGATGTCCGCAATTATGTATGTCCGGAAGAAATACAAGTTGTTACCACCGGACATTATCATTATATATCCACCATCACCATCGTGTATAAAAGGGCATCACTGAGTGAGGATGCCTCATTCGAGAAGATGGATCACTGAGGAAGACCTGGCTCGACACGAAGGCGAAGCTGCAACGTCGAGACGAACAACAATCATGGACCATCGACTCGGATCATCGGCTCTGAGGAAGACGAAGACGTCGAAACGTTAGCCGAAAATAAATATATTTATCAACCTCGTGCAAGCTTATCAAGAAAGAATACATATTGATTAGTCACACCGAGGTTTAGAGAAAGTCGGTTTCGAAATATTACTACGCTTTGTGCTAGGTATACTTGAAATTAGACTGCTCAACTTGGTAATTTTATATTTTTCGTACCCTTGTTTTTGAACGAATAAGAAGGGAAAGTGCAGCGTCAGGAAACATAAGCAAAACGAGCACACAATTACAAAGCCCGTGGACATTAAGAACTTGCTTCCTCCGAAAACTCACCTCCGACAACTTTGTAGAGCAGATGGCTTCCATCGGTTTTGTCCAAGTCGGTGGCGTTGAGGCGCACAATCGGACTGCCGGCTGCGATGTCCTCTCCGATCCTCACCTCGTAGAGTTTTCGCTCGAATTTCGGTACGTACTCGTTCACATCCTTGACTTTCAACTGCACCTTCGTGACCGCCTCCATACTTCCAACGGTGGCCGTCACCTGAACTCAATGATATTGTCGCTCTAGGTGCTCAACCGTTGTTTCAGGAGTTTTTGAGGTTGCGCCTAAATGGCGCATGAAAAACTTCTGTTTGCTTAGGGTGATGTGATGCTTCTCACTATCAGTTTTAAATTTCGGAACTTTTCGCAAGCCTTGTTCAACCTGGACGTTATCTTAAAACTTTTTTGCTCCAAACACTCTTCCAATCAATAATGAACTGCAAGTATTGTTTTGAAACGAAGTGGTATCGACAGATTCAAGTAGAAAATAATGATATGGCAGGCCTATGCATTGTTACTCTTCTGCCTCAAGAAAATATTGTCTGAAGAATATGTAAATTAAGTAGGAAGCGCATAAGTGGAATAGAAAAGCTACAAACCAGAAAGTAGAGATTCGATGCCACATCAACTGGCAGTTCTTCAAGGTCGATGGGAGAGCTGACAAAAAGCGTTCCGTTGGGTAGAATATTCAATGGGAATGATGGGCTAATTGTGTAGTTAACAGAAGGTGACTTCGGAAACACCTAAACTCCTAACTTTCCTAAATTACATGTTTAAAAATATTAGATTAAAATATTCGCTCAATGATTTGAAATAAGAGTGAAGCTTACAAGTGAATTAGGCTGAGGTTTCAGGGTTGTCTATACAGTTATAATAGTTTTCCCTTTTACCGCCATGTCACACTTTCACGATGGAATATATTAAAATGTCTAATTACATTTACGAAATAAGAGTTAGGCATAGATTGACTTAGAAAATAATTAAAAGCACCTCAATGGATGGAGAAAGTGTTGTTCCTACAGGCACATTCTCTGCTACCTTCAGTCGATAGATGGAATGAGGGAAACGAATCGCTCTATTTGAGACAAAACTGATGGCCACCTAAAAATTACCAACGCAGATCGAGGGAAATTTTATTGGTGGATTGCTGTATCCTGATTGAATATCACACCCCAACGTCGGAATAGAAGTTGGGGAAGTCAACGTTGACAGCGCGTATGACGACAAACTGCGTGTCGTGGTTGGAAGGAATCTTTCCGTAGTCGGTAGTGACGATCAGTTCACCCTGAATTCACTATACTCAAAGGTATTCAATAATAGCACGAAGATATTGTGGGTATTTTGAATACGCAAAACATCGTTCGACAGTGAAATAATCGACTATTCCAACTACGTAAACTCACTAACAAAATGGTTCGACGTATAATTTCCTTGCCTGTTCAAATACTGGATGTTTAAATTAACTTGGAATGTCAGACTATCTAACTCCCATGTTTGAAATGCTCTGTTGCTACGCTAAAAAGAGCTTATACTTTGTCATACTTGCTTTTTTTAACCCTAAGACTTGAAAAAAGATGATTCTCGAAGTGGTTGAAGTGAAACCATTCCGTCCGAGAGCAAGGAAATCAGTGAACAAAGAAAAGTCCGATTCTTGCGTACCAGTTATGGCTTGCCTAGTGGCTAACTTGTAACACTGCAACCAAGAGTTCGTTGGCTTAAAGTCAATCTAGCTTTCATGAATGGACGGCTACGTCGAACTCTGAGGCCTTCCTATGTAACTTTGTCAGTGGATATGCTTTGATGACAAAAATTCAAAGGGGGTGTAAGTCAAGTAGATGTGATAGGACCAACAAACCGTATTGGGGTCGAGATGAAGACCTTCGGGTGCGTTGCCATCCGGGAAAAACCGGTAGCGAACTGTGCCGTTCAGTACTCGAGCGTCGAAGCGATGAACAACTAGTGGAAATCGGGACTCGATAGGAATCTGCAATCGACGTCATACTAGGGGCATCCTTATTTATTTATGCAAATACTTGTCCAGTGGATTTCCAATGTATATAAGCCATAAGAGATAGAGTGAGATAGAAATTTCAGAAAGTCATCATTCATTCTCGGGTGCTATGTCCTGTTACTCACACGTGGAGTTTTCACAAAGGTTCTTTAGTGATTTTGTGGATGAAGTGATAGTTTCTAACCCCACTGATGTTTGATAGGTAGCTGTTGCACTCGATTGTTTACCATGTCATTGCAGAATCACAGTATTAACCATGTAAAGAACAATGTATTGTATAGACAGCACTTTCTGTCGTGGAAGCTGTCTTGAACTAGCTTTGAACGTCCCAAAAATAAGTGGGCACACTAGAGAAGTTATTGAATCCTCTGAATGTTACTGAGTTGAACGTGGTGTTATAACGCCAGACGGCAAATTACGTGACCAATACACAAAAGTGGCTGAGAGAAAGGCTAACTGAGGGCTTCCGTTGGCGTGGTGGATTGCATATGAAATGTCGGTAAAGAATATGGCGAGCTCGAAGTCAAAGTGAGGTTACGAGTTTCGCTCATACCTCAGCATCATTGCGCTTGTATTTTACATAAGACCCTGTCACGAAAAAAAAACGATAGGCAATAAATAAAGGCTAAACACCGTTCAGACTTTATCACATAAAGTTACCGCCTTCCTTCCCTCTCTTCTCCGAAACTGCAAAATTGGAAAGCAAATCGCAACTTGGGATGCACTATCTGGAAACTAGAAGGTGCACTGAACACCTTCAGCTTTATCATTTATCATACAAAATAATGAATCACTGGTTTTGATAAGAACAAATACCTCGGGCGTTAGTCGAATAGATCGATTTATCAATCCCTGTAAGCTCAACAGTTAGAAACGTGCTGATTATCTTAGTATCGAGTTTAAACGACGATCGGTTTCAAAATTATACTATATATATATATATATATATATATATATATATATTACACATATAAAGTATAGACATATAAGTATGAAGACATAATACAACTTAACAGAAATAACTAATAACAATAATAAAATCTTGCAATTTTTACCTACGACGAAAACCAAAGTGGGCACTCAGGTACCCACTCCTTCGTTTCCGAAAGCAGCCACAATCCTGATTTAAAATTGACTTTTTGGTTATAATAAATAATTTTCACATAAAGGATCGTACAGATTACATACACATTGCATTACGTCTATTGAAACACTCTAAACGATCACATTCCCCGTAAGTACGCCTCTAGTGCTAACCTTCCCAACCGACACAGTAGCATATTTCCGATCGCGTTGCTTTGCGATAGGCTCGTGACATCATCACATGTTGTCTCCTTTTTCCAGACACTGGTGTCTCGTTGTTCAACGAAATGAGCAGTCGATGGTGTCCTAGTACTGTCGCATACATCATCACACAAGTAGACGCCCATCTTGAAGTTATTCAAGTAGGAAGTTTCTTCGCACACGCTATTTATATATCCTCCATGCGTCAATCAGACGAGTCTGAGTGATCAAATGAAGGTAGAACTGCATGCGCCTAAAGTAAGAAATGTAGGTGTTACTCCTTCTTGCAGATGAACACTAGGACACCAACTAACCATCAGTCCCCGATAAGCATCATTTGGTTGTAGTCTTCAATCATCTCCGCTTTTGATGAGTTCGAGAGAGATACATGGTGAACTGTGGACAGCATAACGATATCGCTTTTCTTGTCTTTTCATTTAACACCATTCCCCACTCCGATTCTGTTGCACTACCAACTGTCCACTACTTAGCTTCGTCCGAGATCAGCTCTCAGATGCCACTTATAAAAAATCCTGGAAATCTCTCCGTTCAGCGAATGGATCCACCAGATCCCATTTTCCTCACTGCCACTCTCCATGAGAGGTGGATTGAGCCTGACGTTGAAGCTGCTGTCAGCTTCCATGGCTCGAGCTCATAACATTAAATTCTCAACCTTAACCCTTTTACTTACTGCCTTTTTCTTCTTAATAGCAGGGTATGTTGCGAAATATAACTCGCATGAAATGCTGAGATATTTGCAAAACCCCGGACCGCAGCTGTATGCAGTGGGGAATGAACACGCGCTGTTGTCCTTACCGGGGAGCAGTGCGCTTCACCACCACACCATCCGGGTCCTTCGTCTTGCCTGTCTCTCAGCTAGTTCTATCGATCTTTTTGCCATCAGCAATCACCCGTCAACGGGATTGATCTGGGGAGCCCAAATCGGCATTGAACCCAGTTAAGCTGAGGCTGGTTATAATCACAATCTTAACCCTTTTATTTACTGCTTTTTTCTTTTTAATGGCAGGGTATGTTGCAGAACTAGCTGAGAGACAGGCAAGACGTAGGACCCGGATGGTGTGGTGGTGAAGTGCGCTGTTCTCCGGTAAGGACAACAGCGCATGTTCGTTCCCCATTAAATGCTTAATCATAATCCAATCCATCAAACATAATCCAAAACGGTAAACTAAATAAACAAGTAAAGTGGATACAAGGAAAAAACCGATGTTATCAAGAGATAGATGGGTGAAAAACCCATGTAGAAACAAAAAGAAATAAGTGATGAATGAAATTTAGGATGGCGATAACCTCGCAAAGAAGAGCCTTGTACACTCTACTGATCTGCTAGATTAATCTTCAGCATTTTCTACGATAAAAAATTTTGAAGCTCCACGGATCCATTTACGTTGGCAATTTTTGCACCAAGTGATCGACGTTTATTTCTGGTTCATACACGCGCGAAGGCAGTTATCCTTCTCAGTAGCATTTCTCAGCTAATAGTAAACATTATGAATTGAAGACACCACATCGACAACGCGAACGGCCGTGGACATCGACTCGGTCTGATGAAGACGAAAACGACGAGACGTTAGCAGAATAAAACTCACACAACAACCCCGTGTAAGATGAACAATCCAAAAAAATCTATTGACCATTCACGGCGAGGTTAATGTAAGTCGGTTTAGCAACAGTTTTAGGGACTGGGATTTAAAATACCGGGATCCGGAGGTTTCTGTCAAGAAGATGCAGATGTCACCGTTTGACCGCGATAAAAAGTAAATTTTAAATAAAAGTTTTAAGCTTGAATAAAGCAAGCTCTCTTCCGCAAATATGTCGGAATACAAACTTTGCAAGTTTTCCAGCTACAACACTTATCGGAAATGACCAGAAAACCACCACCATCCCTTACCCACAACATAGAAAGTTCAATTTTTGAAAAGCATTTCATTATTTTTAGTTTTCAATCGTCATGATGAGTCATTGCCATCATATAGGATGACCGGATATAAGAAGTACAGAAATACACTTAACAAAAGACATTTAACACGAGCAGGAGAATCTTCCCGAACGCAGTGTGTTTGGCAGATGAAATACAGCAAAAAAAGGTGTAGTAGCAAAGTTATGCTTCGAGATGGATAAAGAATAATCTATTCTATGATGTTCTGATGTTCTCAACCCTGTAAGTTCTCTAACAATTGCGAATTCATCGTTTATTGTGGATAAAATCCGAATATGGCGTGTTTAAATCGAGGATGAGTTCACAGCTTTTTTGGCCCAAGCCTAATTAAGGGTGGTCGTTTGTTAATAGAAGACAAAAGACAATGAAGTGAAGAAAAAAAACTGACGTCAATGTCGTAGATCAACTGTGGGAATACGGGATATTTGTCACGGTCGGACATGACGACGATTCGGAGACGGTGATCGGAGTGGACGTTCTCGGTCTCGCCCCTTACCGTCAGGTGCGTCTCGCCCGGCAGCAGATGAGTAGCTACCTGCCACTGGCGCTATCAGAAAGCACTCCAGTGCCCATGAAAATGACTTTAAGAACGAAATTCCATAGAGAACTAACCCGCAGCAGATCGCCGTCCATTATGAATTGCCTATCGTTCTCCAAAACACGGAAGTGAACAGGAATCGACGAACTGGTGTAAGCGGATGCCCTGAGTTATCAGTAACAACGATCTTGAAGAAAAGCAGTTCCTCGACTTCCAATAATAGAAAAAACGATTCCACCTTAGACCAACAGTTTTAGAGTAAAGATTGCAGAGATATTTCATTAACATTATGACTTACGGGTGCAATAGTCATTTTCTAGTATAAAATACAAAAAGGAGTGTGTATTTGTCATAAACAGAACCGGATATAACATCAGATTAAGACGGAATTTTGCGAGAGACTATTTAAAGTAGTTTCTGAGATCACTTTGTATTCCTTACCTATGGGCAACCATGAAAATGAACCACTAAGTAGTAAAATATAAGAAGATAAGTCTTTGTAGTACTCTTGCCTCCCCATATCGTTCGCACTTTCCTGTTCACGAAAATAATGCACTTTAAATATAAAGTGAAACTACCACAGTGATGCCGAGATATTTGCAAAATCTCCGAACCGCAGTTGCCTGCGGTGGAGATCGAACACGCTATTACCCTTTACCCTTTCAGTAGGGCTACCGCGGTCACCGCCGCACCATTCTGGTATTTCGTTTCGCCTTTCTCCAGTTTTGCAAATATCTCACAGTCATTGTGGTTATATCTCAGATTACACCTTACCATGAAAAAAGAATCGACACTAAGTAAAAAAATGACTATAGAGTGACACTGCATAGGTAATACGGAAGGAATTAGATGAGAGAAAGCCAACCTTAAAACGACACTGCCTACTGCCTTCTCCGCAGAGATGTAGATGGTGGAGGGCAGCGGAAGAAATCGCAAAGACGAGTCACCGACCACTTCGATGTGCAACGACGCTGATGTCTGTAATGCGGTTTATTGCTATTCATTATTCCTTGAACTTTTTTTCATGGTGACCTATTGTACTGAAATGAGACAACGCAGACTCTCTGGTTAGACTCCCAAACGTAGAACAATCCAGTTCTCCGCAACTTTGTTATCATGAAACTACTGGTGTCAGGCAGTGCACTAAGTTCCCCACAGGATGGCCCTTGCAACTCAGAGTGCGGATGAAATGTGCACATACTTCGTAAGCAGTCCTTGAACGTGCTCTTTACTTCAAAGAGAAAGGCAGTGACAAAAGATACGAAAAGAAAATGAAGTGGCAAAGTGGTAATGGTGTTAATGGATACTCTGCTTTATGTAAATTTCTTCTTTTTGGTAAATTACTCACTGCCCATGAATGCTTCAGAAGTACGAAAATCAGATAAGCAGGGCGAGAACTACCATAGCCATGCCGCTGTAATATCGTTGATCTTCTAGTAAATGAGTGAAACGAATCTGAACTTTTATCGTCCAAAAATGGTTGATATTTCAACTTTTGTCAAAGAAGTTAGCGAAATTACTGTGACGTTGCTCTAATGGATCGGGCACATCTTGCACATTGAAAGGTAACCGATGAACGGAAGGGATAAGCGAAAACATTACGGTAGAGGAGAATGCAAGTGCTGAACAATTGCTAGGGCATCTGCCTTTACAAGGACCGCTAGAATTAAAAGATGCTTAAGCTCTTTGTGCTCACATCGAGTATTGAACGGAAAATATTGACTGATATACTTGGATAGACCGTTTTTACGAAGTACCGTGCCGACCTAGCAATCTCATTTGACGGCATTTCATTCCCTGAGAATTCCTTTCCTTTTCGAAGTCCCATAGTAGCCGTGCTAAGACTTCTCCAGGTTGTGACCACAGGCGATCCTGGGCTCAAGTGGATCGGAGTGAAGTTGGCTACTTTGCGATTAGGTTTAAGTGGAGATATCCGGAATTCTACAAGACCGTGTCGGAAAACGAATTTCTTGCATATTATAGTTGGACTCTGACAAACGCTCTTCCCGACGATATATTAATGCTGTAATCCATCAAGTGACACCCGACTCCGTGCCCACCTCTTCGACTCAACGGTACTTCCTGCCCTAGCGTATGCGTCAGAAACCTGGTCGCTGCGTAAGCTGGATGAAGGGTCACTCAGCGTTATCGAACGCGCAGTCGAAAGGGCGATGCTAGGAGTATCCCCTTCCACAGAAGTAAGAGGTGGGATCCGAAGCTCCGATCTGCGTCAACGATCAAAAATCAGTGATGCCGTTCTGTACGCCAAACAGTCGAAGATAAGGTGGGTCGGACACGTAATGTGTATGAATGACAACCGATGGACAAGGGCCGTTAGTGACTGGATTCCTCGGGATGCCAAACGTACTGCAGGAAGACCACCGACCCGATGGTCAAAGTTCTTTACAAAGAGCTTTGAGGAAGGATATGATGCTCGACGAGTCCCTAGAGAGAGCAGAACCCGCTGGGCCACTCTTGCACGCGACAGAGAAAAATGGAGGATTTACTGGTGCCCGCTCGAGTCACTCGACGATCAACGGGACTTCAGATGATGGAGGTGAATCCATCAAGTGGGATGTACAACAAGTATAGTTTCCATTTCTAAAATTTAACGATGGCAGAGGGCCAGATTTGACACGACGAGACAGAATCATTCTAAAACTGTCGAAATTCGCCAACGAAAAATCGAGAATATTCCAAAGTAAATCCTCAGTAATGTTTACGCAAACGTTAAGCCGTGAGTATAACTGTACTTCATCATATAACAAGTGTACGCTTGCGGAATTAGTATGGTCAACAGAAATCAAAAAACTTATGGCAAGCTCAATATCGTCCACCTTTCTTTTGAAGACAGTACTTTGGTCTTCAGCGACCACAAGAAAGTCGAAGGGTCCGTCTTCGGAAGTGATTCGTTGGATTGCAGAAATAACACCTGTCTGAAAAGCGCCTTTATTTGTCGAAGTTACCGATTACGAATGATTTGCCCTCACCTGCTCGTTGATTGAAAATTTAGAGCTATAATTTTGGCCGCCAGGACTGAATTCCAACCGGTAAATAATCTGTCCTTCTGGTCCAGGATCCGGATCTTTGGCATGGAGTTCGGTAACCACCGAACCGGCCCGTACTGGTGAATTTAGGATGATTTCGTAACGCTTCTGAAAGAAACACTCTAACTGCTCTTACTTAAAACTACTTGACATAACGCCTAAACATTTTATTACAATTAAACGTCAAACAATTGAAAAATTTCCGTGGACAATGACATCTCATGAAACGATAAATTGGTGAATTTAAGAGATTATTGGTAAAAGCAGTTGATGGATAAGCAGACACGAGGTTCTTAGCATCACATTTTTTCTCTACGCTGACCATCCTTTCGATGTGCGTAATCGCTTTTCATCCAAATTCTAAATTCCTTGCGGATGATGTCCTTCCAAAAGTGGAAGACAGAAAAAATGGTTCCGAAGAAAGCGAAATCCGCCGAAGCACTAGTCTTTTCACTATAAACACCGCATTAACGACCTCATATCTGTTTATGAAGAACGCATACACTTATTGAGCAATGTCACGATTAATGTGGAATTGGTGTTGAGAATGGTGGAAAAGTTTCTCGGAGTCAATTATGGCAGAAACTCAGAAACAAAAATATTATTGAAGTGAGAGAAAATCTTTCACGAACCCTTAAGGAAAGATGTGAGAATCTGATTGGTAAGCGCTAGCAATCAAGAAGATTAAAAGCAAATCCTAAGGCAAACCTGATCGAACACCGGAGCGGAAGGGTTTGTGCCGTGGACGGATATGGTGAGCCGAGTAGAACCGTGGAGTTGGGGGACACCATGGTCCCCTGCCTCGACAACGAGATCATAGCGCGGTTCCGTCAACGCCGAGATCGTTTGCACCACCCCAGAGCGTCTACCGATGACGAACACCGCTAAATTGCAATCAGTAATCTGCTTCTGACTACTGTAGCAATTGCATTAAAGACAAACTTCAATGTAAATGTTGTGAACAGTGCTAGTAAAATTAGGGAGCGAACAAGACTCCTTACCTAAAAATGTGTTCTAACCTCACTAAAATGAGGGATACCAAAAAAAAAGCAGAGAAGAGGAAAAAAGGAAAAACGGATAATAATAGTACTGAAACGAAATGAAGCAAGCTGGGGCACTGAAATCAAGTTCTCAACATCATTTGGGCAGCCACCTACCATTAGGAGGATTAATAAAGTAGTCAATTTCGCCATTCGGTCCAGAATCAGAATCAGTTGCCAACAAGGTGATGACCTCAGAGTTAGCGGCAAGATCACTTGGGAGCGAGATTTGGAACTGTGGAGAGGAGAATCGAGGCGCGTTGTCATTGACATCAACTACGATCACCACCACAGAGGTGTAGCCGCAACTGTTCGGATTCACCGACAAGCAGGCTCGAATCTAGAGTGAATTGGTTCTGACCGCAACTACAACAAGCGCTGAATCATTAGGTTATCTTAGTGATGAGAGTCCTTTGGAAAAGAATTCATAAAAATCTATACAAATATCGCACCTTGAGTTCGTAGTTTTGTTTGGATTCATGGTCGAGTGCGCTTTCGGTGGCGATTTCTCCAGAAACTGGATGCAATCGAAAAGGCACTTTTGGTCCCTTATTAGAAATCATTTCATACCGAAGTGAGAAATTCCTTGAAGAGAGAGCAACGTGGTAGGCCTAAAACGGAATGAAAATGGGTCGAGCACGCTTTCCAACGATTGTTGTGGATTTGTGTGGTTTGAGGTTCACTCATCACTAATTAGAAAACTACTACCAAGTGTGTAAACACTATAATTTAGAAAAGTAGCGAATAACAATAACGTTTCCCGAAAAGAGGAGATGATCGAGTTGGTAAATTTGTCGATGAAATCTACCATTTCATTTTATTCATGACTATTTCTTTCAAAAGTATGATAAATGAAAGTGTATCACTACTTCTCAAGGTGTGTTAATTCTGCGCATCCTCAGCCCTACAGGAAACTGTACGAGGCAGATTCTAAGATAAAAATGGATAAAAGATAGAGCTATCACCTTTGAGGGATGAGCCATACATTCAACTTCAAGTACAATTAGGGGTGGTCGAATGCAAAGCTGTCCTATACAATGACTTGCGATGTTCTATCGATGTATCAAGTAAGTGCTGCTACTCTCCCAGAAAACTATGACACCAATTTGCCTAACCCGATCGAGCAGAAGGCGTGGTGAGCCTGTAGCCCGGGATCGAACCGAGGACCACGTGTGTATTGCAAGGCACCCCTAACAACTGCGCTACACACAGCCTATATAGATTTTAGGATATTCGAAAATAAGGACAGACGCGTTGTTCCTTACCCTAACCACTCCGATGACGGCAGGCGGTAGATTTTCGGGAGTACGGAAAACATAACGACTACGTTCGAAGCGCGGTGAAGCGTCCGTGATGTCCTTCTGCGCATCCAGATGCACGGTGACGACGGATTGCGCCTGAAGCAGCACGATATTTGCCAACAACTCACGTTGTCCATCTGAGGTCTCATCTGCTGGTTTAGCAAACCGAATACCATCGCTTTTACTACCGAGACTTATTTAGACTTCCACTTCCATTTTTTTAATTTTATTTACTTCTACTTCCATTGAAGACAATTCGTTATTGGAGTGTCAGATTGAGACAAAAAGATATAACAATAGTCTATAACTATGAATTAATGAAGGAAAATGTAATAATGAAAGAATGTAGGCAAAAAATAGTAAAAGTGAAGTTTGGGTGAGACTTTCGCCCATCGATTAGTCTTTTCTGATACAATACTATCCTCGTCGAATATGCTTCAGAGCGCGAACCGCGCTTAAGCTTCATTTGTATCACTTTTAATCCATCAATTATTCATCAATGACTCAACAGTGCACAAGCAAAGTTCCGATTAACGCGTATTGAGAGCAAGACCAGTCAGATGAGCTCCGTTTTTAAGGAGTAGGAGGAGCAACGTAGCACTTTTCCTACGAAGCACTTCATCTCCACTGCTTTTTTTCGGAGTGGCAACAAGTCGGATATCCCTCGGGGCTCAGAGTTGGTAAACGTATAGGGGGCTCAACTAGTTCCTCAGGCGTTACAATCGACCCGCTCTATTTCTATCACATAATCGGCCTGTAGCAGTACATGCATTACTGTGCCTATGTCTATTACAATAAGTCCTTTCGCGCGTATTTTATAAACGCATGTACCATTTTCAGAAACAAAATAAACAGTAGTTGACTTTTTATTCACTGCCTTTTATTAGCTTCAACGGCAGGGTGTTATTTGTGAAACAACCACAATGATGCTGAAATATTTACAAAACTCCGGACCGCAGGTGTCTGCAGTGGGGAACGAACGCGCTATTGTGCTTCCCAGGGAGTAACGCGCTCACCACCACACCATACGGGTCCTTCGTTCCGCCTGTCTCTCAGCTAGTTCTGTCGATCACTGCCATCAGCAATCACCCGTCGATAGGATTGATCTGGGATCCACAGACACCTGCGGTCCGGAGTTTTGCAAAGTCCTCAGCATTATTGTGGCTGCTTCGCAAATAAACAGTAGTATTAATGCATCAGCTGACCACAAAGCGACACAAAACCAAAGATTCCTGAAGTCATTCCGCCTCGACTACAGCATTCCATCCCTGGCCCAATAGATTATGGCCAATTTTCGGGCGGCTGCTGACTTTCTGGTTTTTTGACAGTAAAAAATCTTTTCTCAGCAAATTGGAAACTTGAGGGTTTTGAACACAGCGCGATTGTAGGAGAGAATTTCTTGTATTATTCAAATGATATGCATACTAGTGTTCACTACTGCTACTATAGACCATTATTCGAATACATTGCTGCCTGAGTTTGGAAGTATTTTCCCGTTTAGGTCAGTCTATTTGGGTTATTTTTACGCCCACACACTCTATAAAACGACCATAATTCATTTAAAGGATTGAAGTGGAATAACAGTTAACTGTTACTCAAATTACCGGTCAATGAACTTCTTCGAAAAAACGATTTCTTGTAAATCATTAAGTGCAGGGAATGGTTTCCCTGGTCTCATGCCTACTATTTTGATCTTGTTTGAAGTACTTCAATAGAGATATCTACTGCCTTGTACTAGCATTTCGAACATAGCTGTGGGTTTGTATGGCTCTGTAAGAGCGTGCTTAAAAAACGTATGCAATAAGTGGAGAGAACATTGAACTGAGGCGGCATGAGTAAAACGGAAGAGGTATAAAACCTACTAGTAGAAGAAATCCGCATAGGTGAATGACAGTGCTCATGGACGTGCTAACTCATTGGATTAGCTGTAAATGTGAAGACATGAACGACATCGGGCAGCTGCTAATCCTGGCTAGCCCGGGCATGTGGCCCCGCCCTATGCGAGCTGAGGCTGCGGCCCAAATCGTCCCTTTTAATCGACGATTAAGTGGACTTCAAATCCGTCAGCAACATGCGGCGAGTAAGTTTTGCGCTATCTGGAGGATTAGGAGAAAGTGTTGCATGAGGTGGAGTTGGTGACGACGTTCCTGCTGCCCATCTAACCGGGATTCATTCTTTTGTAGAACAAATGTAACTACTACTCAGTCTATTAGTAAACCGCTGGGTTGACGTTTCATTCTAATTAGGTTAAAAATTCAATTCATTTAATAAAAAAATCAAATTTTGAAATTTTTGCTAAGTCTACTAGATGACTCACTGATATTCTTCTCTGACTATAGGAATAAATCAAAACAAAATTTATATTTAGAGAGGAACAAGATTGGGAACACGTTTTATATCAATGTGGGAATAAAAAAACTTTTCGAGGCAAATGCCTGCAGATGTATTGCTTTGCACTCGATGTTCCTTGTCTAAACCATCGTTACTCTTCGGGTCGCTGTGGTACCAGACAGCAGCCGAATCCTGCTAAGGCATGGGTGGTCGTTGAGCAGACCGCGATTGTCCTGAGCTGATCGTTACGTGCACCGACGGCAGGTGATTTTTGTGACGGTTGCTTCGGCAATTACTCAACGATCGCCAGTGTGGCGTTCCGTTGCCAAGGTAGCCATTCAAAACACTTAGTGATGATTCGAGCGTGAATCAACCACGGAGACGATTTCATTCAACTTTCGTTCAACGTTGCTAAAGAAAACGAAGTGTGTGAAATCGAGGGATTTGAGCTGCTTAGAATTCTTCATTTCATTGTGCATATCGATTGTTGTGCGATGAGTTACATTTGTGTAGTCTTAAAGCGAAACTAGTGTCCTCAATACGCTTTCCTCTAATGTTACATGTAACGTCTAAGATGCTTTAAGTACAATGCATTGGTGCGAAAATAATGGCCACTAACAACTTCAAGTCAACAGACTCCAGTTCATATTGAATCTCACTAGTTTGAATAAAAACCATTAGAATTTTTTGAATAAAAACCACCAGAATCCAAGCATATTTACCTATAAGATGTAAGTTATTTTTCCGAAAGGATAAGAAAGAGGATGAAGCTCTCGACGTTGATCAATCCCTGACGGATGCGCCATGAATTCAACTTCACTAAGTACCGTTGGTGGTGATTGAATGCATATCTAGCCTTTACAATAACTCGCGGTGGTCTACCGATGTATCGAGTTAGTGTTGCTATCCTCTCAGACAATTCTGCTATCCTCCCAGTCAGTACCAATGTGCCGACCCCGGAGGGACGAAAGACTTGGTGAGTCATGGGCGTGGGGATCAATTCCACGTGTGTGTCGCAGTGGCGCCTCCAACCACTGTGCCACACGCGCCCACTATTTTGTTCTATTCTATCAAGATAGAATTCTGACCTCCTTGAGCTTATGATACATTTTCCTATTAATTTTTTTTCCCCAAGGGTCGTGTTTCAAACACAAGAGAAATTGAGCAGACAGAGCTTCGTACAGTGGGACATGATGTTGTTTCCAATGCATTGCTCATGTTTTCTTTCTTTTTTCTTATGTTATGTTTTCTGCCTTTGAACTTCCGTTAGATGCTTCCAATATTTAGACCACGTTTCCAACTTCTAACCGAATTAACTTTAAACATATCTAAAATTGAAGTAATAACGGCACAAAAGAGATATGCAGTATTAGGCCGACAGAACAAATCTTTTCTGCAATATGTAGTTTTCAGCTCCTCAAATGCTATAATCAGTGAGAAATCACTCCCAGATCTCAAAGAACCAGCTTTGGCGTTATCAAGTGTGATTTTCTGTAGAAGCAAGCGATACCAGTGTTAGACGTTCTGAGGTCAGGCAGCCGACGAGTGTTTTTTATTCCTCTCATCGATTTTCTTGAAATTCGATTTTTAAACAAACCTTTTAGAATATTAAGCTAACACGAGGCTGATAAAAAGGCTTATAATAATTGATTATTGTTATAGAAGGTGTTGGTTGTAATGTCGAGGTTAAATGACTGTGGGTTTGAAAAATATTGAAAGAGTTGAATTTAGCCCAAAAACTACATGTATATATATATATATATATATATATATATATATATACATATATATCTAACGAATGAGAGGCTCCTCTATATAATGTCTGTCAATTCTGAACTCCTCAATTACTTGAGTTGTCGAAAACCGTCGAACGCGGTCGTAAAACCAGCATCGTTTATTTATTTCCTCTATAGACATGAATTCCTATGAGAAGCTTTTATTCTTAGTGATTTAACTAAAACTGTATCTGTTCACCTTAATTTCCAAAACAGCTGGGGCTCGTAAAAAGGATGCGATCCGAATGGTCGACATGAAAATCCATTGAAATCCGATATCTCAAAGGCCACCTACCGTGCACTTTCCGTCGGTGGCTGAAACCTCGAAAGTGATATTAGTCCCGTTGAATTGATTCAGATTTCGCCCAACAGAGATCTCTCCCAGATCAGGATCGATCTTGAACATTCCAGACATCTGCAAAGCTTCTGTTTTCACCTGATTGAAAACTTTCTTTCCCAGCCAAACCTACCTGTAAAATTTAAGAACTTTAGGAAAATCGCACGAAGTTATTGCATTCAAGGACTTCAGATTGTGACATGTTGTTGTCAAAAGGCAGACGAAACTTATATCACCTTTCGTCTTGTTTTTTTCAACTTTATCATTCTTCTGCAGAGTATAGACATAGAAGACGATTTTTCAAAATGAGGTTACTTTCAACTTTGAGCGAATATCACAACATTGATTTGAAAGCGTTCATGAGAACCTGATACGCTCACGACCTAAGGCTAATTTGTTTCTTCAGTAGTGCGATATCGAATGTTCACTCTTTGTTTTTCCTTCCAGTGGCATTCTGATGGAAGGCGTACGGATGTTAGTCTAGTAGCTAAAGGCGATCTGCAGTACACACTCGATCGTTCGGTGGTTCTATCCTGCGCCACTGACTCAGAGCTTTCTTCCCCTAGGATTTGGCAAATTGGTATCAGATTTGTCTGGAACGATAAAAATACTGAGCTGATACATCACCAGGCAACTGCGAGTCATTTTAAAGACGAGGTATGTATTCAGCCAACACTACGATGCTTAATGGGGTTGAAAGCATGGGGCGCTCGTAAGCGATTGGTAAGCGCAGAACTGTCCTCGTACTTACCCTTTAATGATTGGTAGAGGGCAATGTTACTGGCGCTGTTCAATATATTTGAGTCTCCACATTCATTTCTAATTTTTACTTTCTCGAAATAGAAATTTCGGTTCTTATAGTGGTTTTCTGCCACATTTAGTGGGTGAACTAAGATGGTTATGGTTGGCGGCTTGAGCAAACCTTTCGATGAATGGCGTATATTTGGGATCCTGGCTCGGCCTGAACTCGACCCATCACGTCGCCCTCGTGCGGAGTTCCGAACACTTCGAAGTAATACGATGGCTCCACAAAAGCGAAAGCTGACTACAATCAATGTAATGTTTTAAACCAAGAAACCCAACGAGAAGAACCTAAGAGTGAAGATAAAATCCAATTATATATATATATATATATATATAATGTTATTTCACTATGTTTAATGTTTATACTATTAAACATGTTCAAAAACCATCAATTTTTCGAATCCTATTCGTAAGAGACTTTTGAGCGGATATGTTTGAAATAACCGAGAACGCATCCAGCCCGCCATCAGATAAATTTTCTACGATATATTTATTATTGACAACTCTACTTAAGGAGATTGATTCATAAGCAAATCAATTCTGCAAAGGGATTCCGATGGCGTTATGGTTTCATTATAAGCCGTTCGTGATTTGATATAGAAGATACGTTAGCAATAAAAAGCGTGCAGCTAAGGCAGGAATCACCTTATCGTCCTCTTCGTGTTCGCGAGTTAAACTGTGCTCTTCGTTAACATCTTTGCTGCGAGCAATCGTTGACGTATCCTTGTTAACACCAGAGAGATTCTCATCGTTTAAGAGACTGGGCTGAATCAATTCAGCGCTAGTTGTCGCTGGTGAACTCAAAGATGCGCTGTATGTTCTGCCCGCCTCTGTCCCACTTCTGGTAGTTGCAGTCCACGTTTCCGTCGGTATAACAGTCGTTAAGACATTTGACATGCTCGTTACCGCCGCTGTGGTAGCTTCTGGAGCAGCATAATTTATTGCAGATACGACGAGAGGACCTGCAGAAGCCAAAATCGCCGCTGGTTTGGTGGATTTATTTTCCGTTGAGCTCAATGTGGTAGACGAAATCTTGAAGAAGACGGGAATTTGGGAACACCTGCAAATGCACTTCCTTATTTCATCGAGGTAAAGAAATCGTTTAAGCCTCTAGATAAGATTGAACGATTTATGAACCGCAGTTATGCCACATCATTGCACGGAATCAATGCTCTATGTGCTTGACGACAACTTTTTTGTTGCGTTTCAAAGTACTATCAATGTGACTGCTCAAAGCTACCACACACCCTTCGTTTGACTATAGGACAACCATCACTGTCCTGTAAGGACTGAGCAGCGGTGTCCTCGCTAGTTTTCGGGGCAGAGGTTATGTAAAATACCCCTACTAATTTCCTAAAATAAAGAAGACAGTCATTAAAAAAGCAAAAATCTTTATCTTTATATCTTCTTTATCTTTATCTATCTTTATCTATCTGTATCTTTAATAATTAGTTGTAATCAAGAACTGTTTCGTCGAAATAGCTGAGTTTATTCCCCACTCGAATTTATTGCTGACTTTCGATCAAACTACCGTGTGTCAAGATAAATCATTTTCAAAAGTTAGTAGTGAAACGAAGCCATCACCGACACTTACTTCACTTGGCAACTTTTCTGTGGTCCTTCTTTAGTCCGTTTTCATTTCCTTATAGAAAGTTGAATGCCATATTTGATCAAATTTTTACTTTGTGAAGACAGTAAGGAGAATTAACTCACCAAAAGGGTGGTGCATTATCGCAGGCTTCCAAAATTAGAACGAAATCCTTGACACCGTCTAAGTTTGAGTTTGTCACAATTTCACCATCCTGACCTTTTCGACGAATGGTAAACAGTGATGAGTCGTTCACGAAACGGTAAGACACTCTGCGTGCTTCACCCTGAAGAAAAACTCCAACACATATATTCTCAGTGGTCATACGAAAAAACTTTAGATTTCTCCACCTCATCGACATCTATGGCTCGAACAGCGCCTACCACAGCGTCGGCAGGAAATTTGTCCGATAGCACGAAAACATACCTGAGCAGTGAAGTCAGCTTGATCATCGGATACATGGAGAAGGAAAAACGCCATAGAAAAAACACTGGTTAAAAATGACCCTACAATTTTCCGCTTTCGTCTGCTCATCATGAAGTTGGAGATACAATTACAAAATTTGTGGCTGTTCTTGAAAACTGAATTGAAAACGAAAACCCAAGGAACACTAATTTCACACCTTCGAAAGATTCACCCTATTCGCTCTGCAATGTGTTCCACGAGATTTTTTCTAGCAAGCAGGTGGAAACAATGAAAAAATGTTCAATAGAACGAAATTCAGTAGATTTTATCGCATTAATGGGCAGTCTATCCATCGAGCTTGGCCAATCAACGTCTAGCAGTAACGCTAGCCATGAGTGGGGGCCATCGTTGACGGGAACGCCAACATATCGGAGATGGATGTACTTCAAAATCACCCACTTGTCTTTCTCAAATATGGGCTGGTTGTCGTTCTCGTCCAAAAGCACCACAGTCACATGAGTTCGAGAGCATTTTGTCCTATGACTTGAGCCCTTGAAAGGAGATATTAAGGATCTAAATCGCTGCGAAGATTTCATGCACTTACTCCTTTCCATGATCATATGAAGAATGAGTATTCGAAAAAGTGCACTAACGCACTACCTAATATAAAGTGGCAAACTAGGTTAATGGTAACACGGAAACAGAAGTTTTCGGAACTTTTGTCGAGAAAGATGGACTCATGAGTATAACTGTCAGTGAGAAAAGCGTGTAGGAAATATAAGAATGTTGTAGAGCATACGGTGCAATCGTTCTGAAAACAGCCCCAGGCCGGCAGAGAGGTCTCACAGTTCAATAAAGACTGTTGTACCTCAAAAAAGGAAAACAATTATTTTACGTTGCACTTGAAAAACTTCAAATGTAATTTTAGAAAATTAACTGAGGTAGCATATGAGACCTACTATAATGGGTTCAATGCTCCTTATTTAGCTAACTCTAAACTATCTACATATTACATGGTCATCCCACGTGAGTAATACACAAATACAAAAGTGGTCCCACACCTTACAAAACGGCTTTGAAGAAGACCACGTTGGCGAAACGTCAGCCACCGACCTACGACAACAGTAACAACTGATATCAACCTCGCATCAGAGTAATAAGGGAAGCTTGTAAGAACATTATTATTAGGGACGGATATCACAATGGTAATGATGTCGATCATCACGAGCATGGTGCTCATTCGATTCAAAGCTTACTAAGCCGCTCATTCCTCTGGAGTGGGGAAATTGGGGCCGGTCTTGTCTGGGAAAAGCTCTTTCCCACCCTGCAGTCCAGGTGGGAACCCTCTAGCCCTGCTACGCCAGTACTCGAGGGAGTACCGATTAGATCAGCACTCAAGGACATTCAAGATGAAAGGAAAATACTCAGGCACCAACCGAAGCGATGCGTAAAAAGTTGGAAGACCTTTGTGGACGATGAGTGTGAGAAAAGGAAACGAATGCAATAAGTGCTGGGATACGCACAATAGGTGTGTTAAAGATGGGTCGTGTGAAAAGAAAATTATTATTGCCAGAGTTTATAGTAAATCGGCCTTTTAAATTATATGCGTGCTATTTGTTGAAAAGAAAAACGGTTTTCGGTCTGTGATAGAGAGAATTTGCTCGAAAATTGTACGGAAGATGAAGAATGGCATTAGACTAGCTTTCCTCCATTGTTTTGTTCACGAATTTTTTTGTTTGAAAAATCGAGAGCTATCTAATGGTTCCGTTCATCGACACTGCCTTTCCTAATTCTACGTACTCAGAAAATCGTTGCGAAATTCACCACATAGCGATGCAATACAGCACATCAATGGGTAAACATCATCCAACAATTGCAGGGCCACAAGGATCTCATTGGTTATAAGGGAGTGAAAAGTTAGACATAAATAGCGACATCATGATGAAGTGTGTGCTATGGGCCGCAGTGAAACCTACACGAATTTTAGCGACCAAATCAAGATTTGCAAGCAGTTCACGGTCCATGAATCGATTGTCGCGAATGTAGACGTTGCCGGAATCCTGATGAATCTCGAACGTGCCGTCCGGATTCAGAATGTCAATCTTCGTCCACTGAAATCGTTTTCGATTTTTACGCCAAAAACTTTGGATTTCGTTATCTCTGGTTTCTCATGAAGGAAATGCTTGTGGTTTCGCTCGGCATTTCACACTGTCTGAAAACTTCGCGTCAGCTCGTTCTCACTGACTCCTTAGTGCTACTCATTTCTTCAATGTTGCCTATTTTTATCACGTTTCCGCGCTACAAGATAGAATTTACGAATTTTACAAGGCATGACTCAAAAATTCTTGTTAAGAAAAGCGCAAAGTAGAAGGAACTGATGAGAACATAATGAGAAAGAGAAGTCGAAGAGCTTTCAGGTTATGTACTTTATTCATTTCGTCAAAACACCGAGTCTTCACATTTAAAAACTTTATAGGAATATAGTATACACTAAGAAGAAGGAACAGTCACATTCTCCACCTCTACTGTACGCTCAGTACTGGTTTAAACCCACCTTTTTCCTATCGAGAACCGATAGGGTAGTGACGTAAGAGCCGATGCCACTATTTTCCGGCATCTCCACTGTGATGCTGCAGTGTTCAAAACGGGGAGGTGATCCTTTGGCAGAGTTTCTCGATGCTTCCGATGGGAATTCTTCGAAGGTGGCAGTTCCACTATCAAGCTCATATGAGGGAGTTTTTGAAGCATTCAGCAATTCTTGAGAGATAGGTGACGGATTTGGCTGGGCAAGTTCCTGCAGCGCAAGTGGTGCTGTGATCGATTTCTAAAAGTTCGTATGTTTTGTCAAAAAATGATAATAATGATAATAATAGTAATGATAATAAATAATAATAATAATAATAATAAGCAGTAATGAAAGACAATGTTTCTGTCTATTTTCGCCTATGTTTTAACTTCTATAAAAACATAATTATTGTCACCATACTGATTTATATTGCAAGTACCCATGCTACGGAAATGAGGTTAAAGAAATAAGAAAAATGACTATATATTTTCCTAAAACACAAAGTGGAGAGCTTATTTCCTCAGCTGTCCTCAGGTTGACATTTTGTGTGCTGATGTTCATGACAATCGATTCTTCCAAGTTTACAACCATTAGCCCGAGAAGTAATGTAAGACGTTCTCCAAGAAAAGGCCACCTCCGAGGAGCCCAAAAAGGTAACCGGGAGTATAACTGATCCTAAGTGGAGAACGGAGCTAGCCGTAGGCAATCCATCGCGAAAAACATGGAATTGAGGTGATTCAATTACAATGTTGCTCAAAAGCCGGTTACTTCCATGAGCTACTACTGCACCAGGACCTGTTTTCTTGATGAGCAAGCACGAGGTTGTTATTACGACATTTATTCATTCGCATAAACTGACATTTCGGCTGTCTCGCCTTCTTCAGAGTCTGGAAAGACCAATTTAACATGGGATTTCAGCAGCCAAACACTTTCATAACCTCAGCAGACAAAACTGAACACAAACTGTTATTCGCATCTTAAAACACCTGAGACAAAGGCACAGACACAAAGGTGAGGATTTTGAAGCAAAAGTCACTATGGTCGGACAGGAATCCAAAACATCAGCGCGCAAACAAACATAGACAAATTCTAAAAACCCAGACAAACCCGCAAGTAGGAGTGCCTTATGTTCAAGCGTGACCTCGCGCCGTATCTCACCCTTATTCTTTGACTTAAGCCGGCCTCATTCCTTGTCCATGTTGGATTCTGTACGGTTGGTCTCCACCAATTAACTGGAAGATTTACAACGAACAAAACAGTGGGTGTTTAGAGCAAGCTTTTTATGGCACGAAAGGAAATTTAAGTTTTGTCTGCTGAGATTACGAAAGTGTTTGGTTATTTAGATTGCGTGTCAATTTGACCTTTCCAGTTTCTGAAGAAGGTGAAACCGCCGAAACGTCACCCAATTGTTTGTTCATCAAGAAAACAGTGAATTACTGATCAACGCCGAGGTTTGAAAAAAAAAGAAGTCGGTGCTGGGATTTGCTACACTACGACATCCCGACCGCTCATCTCATGCTGCCTTGTTGCTAGGTATTTTATGGAATTGCAAAAGTTTACTAACCAATTTACATTTTTGGTGAAGTTGATAAGCATGGTTTCAATAATGTCAAGAAGTTTATGAGTAACATGAGGAATGATATGGCTTGAGTGTGAGTGATATCTGTTTTTAGGTAAAATGACCTATTCACCGGAATTCATCCAAGGTCTTTATGGTTAAACATTTCGCTTATTTAAGGATATTTCGACTCTCAAATTTCGAAATTTCACTTCTTTTTAATTCGCTCTGCTATAACGCACTCGTCAGAAACCAGGTCGTTGCGTAAGTATGATGAAAGAACATTCCAACTTATTGAACTCCCAGTGGATAGCGCGATGCTCGAAGTATTCTGATCACGTAAGTGGAAGAAGGGATACGAAGTCCTAGCTTAGGCTGGAATCAGTGGGTGAAGGATTAGCAAGGCCACTGGGCATACCAAATTTCGATGATCAGATGAGTCGAACACGTAGTGAGTCTGAAGGACAACAGATGAAACAGAGCATTTAGCGACTGCATTCCTAGATGTCAGATGCACCGCAGAAAGACTAATGACGCAATGGTCAGAGTTCTCCACAAAGACCTTGAGGAGAAGATTTGATGCTCAGCGAGTTCCTAGAGCAAGCAGAACCCACTACTATTGCACGAGACAGGGAGAAATGGAAAACCGTTTTTTCAAATGAATATTAAAAACGGGAACCCACATACACTGTAAACCATTTCCTTACAAAAGAGAGCCTCTCCATGCAGTTTTCTCAGCAAAGAACTGCTGAAAGTTACAGGTGCAGTTTGGCGGTAGAACTAACGAAACGCTTACATGGATAACGATGGAGAATGATGGAATGCTCTGTTCAAACGACGACCATGGCGATGAAGAATACTTCCAGAACGTAGCCATCCACAAAAAGCAGGATATTCCAAATCTGTACATTATAAGAATCCGAATTCGCTATGGAAACATAGCAATCTCGTCTTCCATCAACGGTGGCGTTGCTTTCGGGCGATTTTCTTTCCCGCTGTGCAGACGGTTTTCCTTCTAAAGAATCGATAAAACACCTCCGACGCTTATGAATTCGATGTGTCAGATTTGAATGTTCCTTCGTTCGGTATTTTTTAATGGGATGTCGATTGTCACTCGACTACGTTTCTTTCACGCGAAAAGTGACAGAATCTATTAAAGTATGTACTACTGTTGAGGACACTTTTCTTAGAACGATGCCAACGAATTTATTTGAAAAAAACGCTGTATTATCAGTGCTTTCAGGATGAGAGCAATTGATTATCAAACCTATTCGCCTACTGTTCATGCCAAACTCAACGCTTGCCTGGATCTTCGCAGAGTGCGCCTTCGGTTGCCTTCCTATCGTCCGTTTAACTTTCTTGATGTGAATTGTGGTGCTAGAAATGCCATTTTCGGATTTCGCTGCCTGAAATGTTGTCTTTTTCGCCGCGCTCTACCACCAAGAAAACTACACAGTGCAACTACCAACTACATAGCAACTACCATAACGACCTCCTGTTCTGCGAGTATTTCACGGCTGAATTTTAAATCAAAATTAACTACTGTTGCACATAAAAATAACAATATATTCATTTTTTTCACTATTTTTTCGCTTATGTATTCACCTTTCCTCCGATTTTCCCATTTTGTTACTTGATTTATCACATGTATCTACCTGTCGTACCGCTGGTGGTCGTATGACTCGATCGGGCGCCAGTGAACATTCAATTTCCTCTGTCGCATGCAAGAGTAGATCAATGGGTTCGGCTTGCTCTAGCGACTGTTGAGCGTCATATCTTTCTTCTAGGGTTTTCATGAAAAGGTCTGAGTGCTGGGTCTGCTGCTTTGCCTTTGACCTCCAGAAGAATCCAGTCACTAACCGCTCTTGTCCATTGGTTGTAGTTCGAACGCATGAGGTGTCCGTACCACTTTGCCGTTTGACAGTTTATCGTATAGAGTTCGATTTTTGATCGCTGAAACAGATCGGAGCCTCGGATCCCTTCCTGCAATTTTGTGATACGGAATACCTCTAGCACCATCCTTTCGACTGCGAATTCAATAACGCGGGGTGACCGTTCATACTGCTTACGAAGTGGTCAGGTTCCTGACGCATGTGTTAAGGCTATCTTTATATTATACCTAGAATGACGTTGAAAAACTCAGCCCTCTTTGGATTCGAACGCGATTACCTTTTCCAAGGTCTCACGTGTTACTCACTGCACCACCGTTGCATTTAGCCGTAAGAGAGGCATTTGTCTACTCTGACAAATGGAGTAGTAATTTTAATGTTTTCCTTAGTCTCTCAACTTCGTATATTGCAAAGTTCTCCGTAATTGTTGCATTGGCATTATTATTGGGCGACGGTCGGCAACCACAATATTGGTCGTGTTCGCGTATCGGTGGAGCTGAGGCTTGACGATGTGTCATCTACTCTTTTCTTTGACATACTGAATGCTGGTGTAGCGCGGGTTTCCGTCGAAGTACCAAAAAAGTCGGGCTCTATAGCCTACAAGTCTTCATAAAAGGCACTCGTTGAGCATTATAGATCGCGGAGACACCCAACACTCAGAAGATTCCATTATGATGTAATACGAATAAAAGGAAGTGGATGGCGCAGTGGTAGTAAAGCTGTTCATTAAGAGCAAAGTCCAACCAACCAACTCGCAGAATTGAGTCCTGCGTTGGACTTATTCAACCTCCTATTACTCTGTGGTCAGGAAGTTCGTATCAGACTGGACTGATACCAGCTCAATTCCTCCAATCCACGTGGGAACGCCCTAGCACGGCTATCTTGGATACCACGGAGAATCAGCCTGACCAGCATTCAACGGCATTATTAACGAATATAAAACCATCAAACAGCAGCGAAGCGCGCAAAATGTTCGAAAACTTTCGCAGATGATGGATGTGAGAAAAGAAATCGAGTACAACGAGTCTTGGAGTCCACGTATGTGAAATCGAGCAGTGTAAAAGGATGCAAATAGGTAGTTCTCCATGCTTTCGATACATCGCAAAACCATATATCATAGAAAGTTTTACAAAAAATACCTTAGCAATAAGCTTCAGATTAATTGGGAGATGTTTGATTGGTTTGATGAGCTTTAGACGAACAAGAGTTGGTCGACGCGACAACGTCTGGTTTGCACCGATTTTCCACACCGCTGCCGATACCTGACTGTGTTTCTCAACGACGACTTCGAATGGTAAATTGGTATCCTAAATGGGCGGAGAGTAATGCGTTGCATACTGAGCGAATCGTAGGGCATTAATAAACATAATTAACGCTGCTTCATAAAACTCCTACATCTTTTCATACTGCATTTCTAAAAAAACATCAGCACCTCAATATACATCTTCGGCGGTGTGAGCTCAGAGTCCCAGTCAATAACGACCACGGGAGTGTTTAAGATCTCGCCAACGCTCAATTCCTAAAGTGGTAAAGATTTTAAAAAATTGTACAATAATACGGAAGTTCAGATAACAACTCCTTGGGCAACAAGAACCGTATTACGTTGGTAACATAAGTTGACAACGTAATGTTCACTGCACCGCGGTGGCCACTTATCGGATATTGTAGAAGAACGACCGGCTTAGGTGGTTCGAAGTTACAGCTAATGAATTTGCTTGCAAAACGCTGCTTAGGAGATTTATCAAAATAGTTACCTTCTAAACTACTTCCTACAACGCGGTTTTTTGCAAGGACATCAGATCTTCATGAATTTGCTTCCACTAGTATTTTACAGTTGTAGTAAAACAACTATGATTTAACCAATTGTAATGGAGGCATATATGACTTATTGGAGGAAAATTCCCATTCTATCACAAGGAAATAAGGTGGCACCTTTTTTCTCAATAGAACGAGAACTAACGATTTTGTAATTTATTCATTAAATGCTGACGTTACCTCGTTCACTTCGAGATGGTAGGGCTCGTTGTAGAACTGCGGGCTGGTGATCATCCTCGTGCGAATTATGAGACTGAATAAAGGAAACGCTTCACCATTGCATACGACCGTCACGAACACCTGCACTGAGTCCACTCCGGAAAATGTCACTGGAGAAACATAGATGAGCGCGAATCGCCCTGATGGCCATGCTTCTATGGCAAACCGTTCCGTGAGGTTGAACTGAACAGAGAGTTTGTAGTGTGAAATATTTGAAAAAAATATAGCGCATTGGTAAATCGGAAAAAATCTCATAATGCTAAGAATAAAACCTTTTCAGTGAATGAATATGGTCAACTTAGCTTTAATTTCATCCTACATTTATTAAAAACTATAGTTTCAGGTTTAGAAAATTCCGAAGTTGTAAATTATACGTTGGTCCAGAATAATACGTAGGAAAACAGAACTGTGCATGATCTTAACCTTGTGTTATATTAATTCTTCCTCATATAAATGACCACTGAGATATTAAGACCACAACTGTTCAGCATCTCGTGAATGGAGATGTACAACATGGCTCATCTCCCAGTGCAGCCTGCTAAGCCGAGAAGGCGATCGACATTTCTACTGCATTCATTCGAACTAAATTTAAAAAATATGTAAAATAGACTTACTCCAAGCGGTATTTTTGCCCTCACAGATGCTAGCAAAATCTCAGCATCAGGAGGATTAACGACAGATTCGGCAATTACTGTTCCAGCTCGAACGTCTCCATCAACATCGTAGAAAAACGGCCTTAACTCTGATTCGGGGAAGAAACACCCTGCAATCAGTACCTCATTACCGTTCTTGGTGCGTAAGTGTTACCATTCAGAAATCTCGATCATCTTTCGAAGAATTTTACGTTTCCAAGGAATGTTGAAGCAAAGTGATTGTGCTCGAAAATTCAGGATAACGCGTTCTGTTCACAGACCCATTCTACTGTCGTTTTGCCGCTCTATGATGTCAACGTGATGTAAAAATGAAGGAGGTGACAAGTTCTTATTCCCATCACTCATGTTATCACTTTGGCAACTAAAATACTGACTAAATGTTCCCAAGATAGAGTGTTCACAGGCATTTCCTTAGTTGCTTACTAGAAAACTATCATCAAAATTGCAGCTATAGGTTCTGGCCTTATGTGATGAGCACACATTTCTTTGTTATAAGATTCTGTGCAGAAGAGCAAATCTCTACTATAACCCATGAGAAAGCACATTTTCACTCACATTTAGGAATCTTAAACGTTTCAGTTAAACAATTTTCCTCAACAGAAAGAAGACAATTGATGCCAATTTGCACTCCCTCCGAGAGAAATATTCTATCTCTTTCATTCAAATAGAGAAAAAACCTTCTCGCTAAGAGAAAAGATCCACTTTCTTCTGAGTGTTCGTCGATTTCGAGTGCGCACAAAACTGCTTAAACTCGTGAGTAATGACGCTAAAGACTCACGTGACCGTATCCGAGAATCGACCATCGTGAAAAGCGGCGAAAGCAACGAAGTGAGTATTGCCACGTTCATTTCATTAGGCCTGAAATGTAAAGCTTTAAATCACAATGTTAACTTTTTATTTACTGTCCACTACAATTTTTCAGCACAAGGTATTATGTGAAACACAACTATAATGATGCTGAGACATTTGCAACACTCCGGATCTCAAGTGTCTGCGGTGGGGATCAAACACGGAATTACCCTATCCGGGGCCAACTTAGGTTTAGTTTGGTTCAATGCCGATTTGTGTGTCCTATATCAATCTCGTTGATGGGTAATGATGATGGCACTGGTAGACAGAAAGCTAGCTGAGAGAAAGGCAAAGCGAAGGACCCGCCTGGTGTGGTGGTGAACGCGTTAGCCGCCTGAAAGGGTAGTAGGGTGTTCGATCCCCATTGTAAACACCTGCGGCGTGGTGTTTTTTCAAATATCTCAGCATCACTGCGGTAGAAAAGTTTTGTTTATTCAGTCCTTTCACCTATTTATTTAGAAATAACGCTGAAGTTGGACGACAGAATACGCGAAAATTTAAACAACATTTCGGCTTATTGAAAATAACGGTCTGAATGACGAAAGTAAGAGAAGTTTTTACTAGGATCACCTGTACCTGTATCACCTGTAGTCCCGCTGATCGTCGAGTAACTCAAAAGAGCGCCAGTAAATCTATTTTTCCCTGTCGCGTACAAAAGTAGCCCAGTAGGTTCTGCTCGTTCTAGGAACTCCTCAAGCATCATATCTTTCTTCTAGGCTTTTCGTGAAGATCTCTGACCATCGGATCGGTGGTCTTCCTGCAGTACGTTTGACATCTCGAGGAATCCAGTCACTAACGGCTCTTGTCCATCAGTTGTCATTCATACGCATCACGTGTTCGGCCCACCTTATCTTCGACTGTTTGGGGTACAGAGTAGTGTCTTTGATTTTTGATCGCTGACAGAGGTCGGAGCTTTGGATCCCATCCCTGACTTGTGTGGAACGGAATACTCCTAGCATCGTCCTTTCGAATGCGCGTTCGATAACGCTGAGTGACCCTTCATCCAGCTTACGCAGCGACCAGTTTCGCTTACGTTAGGGCAGGAAGCACCGCTGAGTCGAAAAATTGGCACGGAGCCGGGTGTTCTTTGTCCTCTTCAATACATCCCAATGCTCTTTAAAGCTCTCCAAGCCCACTTATTTCCTTCTGCTCAACTCTGGAGCTAAATCGTTCAACATATTGGTTTCTCGACCTAAATAGATATAACTGGAGCATTCGGAAATTTTCGTTCCGTTGAGCGTGAATGGGGCAAGCGAAAGCAATCCATTCTTCATGAACATTGTTTTTGTGAGATTTAGCCAAAGACCAATCTTTCCACAGGCTTTATCAAAGTCGTCAAACATACGTTCCGCTTGACTAGTGTTTGGTGTTATAAGAACGATACCATCAGCAAAGTGAAGATCGTGTAACTCCCGACCGTCGATTTCACTCCCATATTATCCCACTCCAGTGTTCGCATGATGTTCTGGAGGGTGGCGGTAAATAATTTTGGCGAGATGGTATCGTGTTGCCTAACTCCTGTTTTGACGTCAATGTTAATATCGTTGTAGAATGGTGATATTTTGGCTGTGAAGTTTTTGTACAGCTCACGAAGAATCTTTATGTACTGAGTGGGGACTCATTGACTATCAAGGGCTTCCAAGACTGCTTCTATCTCAACTGAACCAAAAACCTGAAAATCGATGAAAGTGAGACAGAGCGGTCTTTTGTACTCTCGCGATACTTCAATGAGCCGTGTTACCGTGTGAATGTGGTCCATCGTACTAAATCCTCTTCGAAACCCTGTCTGCTCACATGGCTGTCCATCGTGTAGTGTTTTGTCAATCCTGCTTAGCATGACTCGAGTGAAAAGATTGTAGACGACAGACAGCAAGCAGGTTAGGCGATAGTTGCCGATATCGTGTAGGTTACCCTTCTTGAACGATAATACGGCCCTGCTGGTCTTCCACGGAGTAGGGACCTTGCATTCAGACAGGTAACGTGTGAAGAACCGAGCCAGTGTGTTTACGAGGACTGACGGAAGTTTCTTCAGCTGTTCTGGTCTCATCTGATAACGCTGAGTGAACGCAGGGACCTAGTGCAGCTCGATCTATGACTAACAGGGATTCAGATTTCGGAAGGGAGAACTGCTGGCACGACGTATCCAACGTCATTTATTTCATATGAAGGAAGCTGGCCATGGCAATCGAGGAGATTTGAGTAGTATTCGTGAATGATTTTCTTCATTGCCTTTCTGGACGTTGTAACTTTTCCCTCTGGGCGTCGGAGTGCAATCATTTGGTGTTGTAATTGCCGAAGCTTCGGTGGGCATTGCGAATGCTTTTCCCAGCCTCTGCAGCTTCGGCCATTACTGCTGCTCCTCTCTTTAAGATCTTCTTTTTTCGCCTGTCTGCATTGTTTTGCAAGTTCGGACGTTAGTTCGCGGTTACCAGCGGCTTGTGCGATTCCACGCTGGCGTATCAGCTCGAGTGTTTCTGTAGACAGACGTCTCTTGGTGACTTTCGAACTCTCAGCTTTCATGGCGCTAACGTGAATATATTGAATGAGCCGATCGTATTCCTCGTCGATGTTATCGACAACGGCATCTTCCCAACAGCCGACTAATGAATTGACTAAACGCCAGTTCGTGGTGGTTCTGGGACTTCGGTTTTTGAATTTAGCGGCTTTTTCTCCTTTTCGCGAGAAATACAGTCTAGCACGAAGGAGACGGTGGTCTGATCTCGTGTAGAATTTTGGGAAAACAGCAACATCGGTTAGGCAAAACCTATTTAATATGATGTGGTTTATTTCGCTATGGTACTCTCCACTGGGAGGCTCCCACGTCCAACGCTGAGGGTGGGGCTTCTGGAATTGCAAGTTACCTTGGATTGTCTTGCTCGCCATAATAAAGTAGCTTGGCAGGCTCTCCCAGAGTGGACATGGAGCCTGTTTGTTGGAGGCGACTCCTAACCGTCTCCCATATACTTCCTTTCACTTGATTGCAGGCTTTTGGCCGAATTGACTCGTAGAATACAATCCGCATATGCGAGAACCCAGCCACACACGCATGCATGAATACGCCTAACAAATACAGAAAGTATGTGCCAAATCGGCGCAGTAGAAACAGGGAGTCCATCCCCTGGATCCACCTGCGCCTCAGGGAAGCAAAGGTCGCTTTTGGTCCGCGATTAACTCCCTGTCCGCCAACTGGGGACGCGCCACGTAGCATCGCGTCTAACCGGCTCGAGATCCCTCACATGAGGGAGATCCGTGATTTTACTAAGATATGAAGATAAATGGTAAAGTTCTCGGCATTGATCAATCGCTGAGGAATGCACCATGAATCCGACGTTATTGATCATCGTTGGAGGTGATTGGATGCCTTCTGGCCTTTACGATGACTAGAGGTAGTCTACCGATGTATCGAGCCGGTGCTGCTATCCTCACAGGCAAGTCTGGTACCGGTTTTCCGAGCTCGGAAGGATGGAAGGCTCAGTGATCCTGTGGCCCGGGGTCTATCCTGACGGTATTGTAGAGCGCCTCCAACCACTGCACTACATACTCTTATTTTACTAGTTTAGCAGCCTTTAGTGCTGGCAGTACAATTCGACCTGCCATCAGCGCAGACCAGTAACCATGGTGGTCACATAGCAGCAAACTTGCCACGATCCACTTGTGCTAGCAAACTAGCAAACTCGTACGGAAAAGATCTTCCAACATCTTACGATGGCTATTACGAGACTCCAGAAAAAATGTCCATTAAACGTCCCAATGGGAAGGGAAGGTGACGTCTTCAATTCGCAGCTGAAACCAAATCCCAAAGGGAGTATTCACATCGATGAATGAATGAAAACTGCTGAAGCAAGCAATTCGTGCAAATGTGGGAACTTTTGGTGCATAAGCCAGTAATGTGAATAATGAAGTACTACTCTTCCTTTTTTAGCAATACAATGAGCCAGACAAATGGCTACATAAGAGAAGGCAATACATTAGAAATTCCATCGATTCCTTCAGCTATCTCTTCTTTTTCTCTTTCTGTATGAGTGCCAGCTACTATTATCTACTAGTATACTACCCTCCAGTTAAAAACAGCTCCCTGAATTTCCCATAGTTTTAGAAATGGATTGAATAAGAAGATATTCGAATGACTAGGTACTAGTTTAGGCTACTATTCCGAAATACAGTCGTTTTTTCCACGCTTGAAACATAGCTAGCTTAGACGCATAGCTTATTTGCTTTCTTTACTCCGAGGTAACCTAATGAACTGAAGAATGGTTCTAGCAAAGTGTCGA